TCCAGTACCACTCAAATGGTGCGTCATGTGGGAAACATCCTGGATGGTTTCAAGGATCGCATGGAGAAGGTTTATTTGCTAAGTTTCATGACTTGTCAGTCTAATCATTGCCAGGAATCCACATAATCTACAAATATCTATAATGCATGTCACCACCCTCCTTTTAAGTATCCACCACTGAGAAAGAGATGCACTGTATCTTATGATATATTCATAATAAAACACAGCCATGATATTCATAATAATAACCATCATTAATCATCATGAATAACATCCATATTAACCATCTATAACATTATAATACTTCCATCATTAATCATCATAAATTGTTATGAGATAAATCCAATAACTTGTAGGTTATAGATGGTTATGAACGCACCCCCGAAAAAATGCCGAAAAGTAATTGTTGTCATAATGTATCACTGTTTTAGATTTGGAGAATAACTTGTCCTATCTCTTTGGGGATTAGTATAATTCTACATATAATGATAATTATCAAATTTACAAATTAGTAGTATAGTTCATTATGACTCTACAAATGATTAGTATAATCATCAAATTTTCTACATATGATTGGTATAATTCTACAATGTGGGGCCTCCCAGTGATGTTTGTTGGTTTATAAACCCCATGAATACTATAGTTCTCTGCGTACCATAAACCATAGTTATTCTACACATTTTTCATGATCAACGAAGCCAAATTTTACAACGCCGCCGTCGGAACGACACGGACCGGACATGTTCGAGGTGCGGCTCCAGTGGGAAGGCGGGATAGCCCACGAAGATAAAGTTCATGACCGCTGTCACCTTTTAGCGGAAGAGAACGAAAGTCATGGGATATGTGGGACCATTCTGAAGTCCTATTGGATTCATTCGTTGGATGATACTGTATAGAGGATTTTGATGTTTAATTCTATTTTTTCACCTAGATTTCATAGGATTTATTTCATACTGTGACCATCATTGTCGTTGGGATTGAATGGATTGGATAGGATTTGAGGTAGATCTCTATATGCTGTAACTATGAACCATCGGGATTTGGGACTGCCCAAGATTCACATAAACCCTGCCTTCACTTGGGGGTTTGAATATTAGTTGCCACTAAAAAAAATGTTTTTTTCTTGTCAAACTCTGCATTTTGGGACAGCATAACAAATTATATGTGTATATATATTATACATATATATATATAATTATATAACATTATAACAATTATATAACAATTATATAAACATTATATAACAAATATATAACAAATTATATACATATATATATATAACAATTATATAACAATTATATAACAATTATATAACAATTATATAACCATCAACAACCGAGATTCTTGGGGGGACCAAAAAAAAATCAGCAAGTCCAACAACGACTCGGCCCCTGGTGGCTTCCGTTGGGATCATCGCCAGTTGAAAACGGTCGGGTCCGCTGCGGTGGTAAACATCCCAGTATTAACATAGGCTTTTAATGGTGGTTTTCCTGGTGGATAATGGTGCTTTTCCTGGTGGTTTTCCTGGTGGTTTTCCTGGTGGTTTTCCTGGTGGTTTTCCTGGTGGTTTTCCTGGTGGTTAATAATGGTTAATGAGATATATAATAGATATACTGATGCTAGGTGATATTTTCTGGAATATCAATGGAATATGTCAATCAACGAACATCCCATTACTGCTTGGTGGTGACTGGAACCATGGCTTTTATATGACTTCCATTAATATTGGGAACAATAATCCCATTTGACGAACTCATATTTTTCAGAGGGGTAGGTATACCACCAACCAGCCATTATGAACATAGGGTTTCAACCATCCCAAATTGGTGATGCAGGATTTCAAAAAACCATCCACAGTATCGCCATCTAAATAGATCACAAAAATTTCAACGACGTTTTGGTGACCCAGTTCGCCCTAAACAACCGCATTTCACCTTACCTGCAGTCACTACGTTCGCTGGTGCTTCAACATCGTAGCAACGTTGGAACTGGGGTGTAACCACACCCTCCACAGAGCCTTGAAACACGTAGGGCTCTTGAGCCCCAATGGCAATGGCAATTATCTAACAATTAACAACAATAGTAGTTAACATTGTTAGTGGATCTTAACTAGAGTTAATTGTTAGTGCTGTTAAAAAATATCCCCACTGATCTACACCATGAGCAGTGGTTTTTCAACTTGCCCTAAAAAAATTGCGCAAAGAAAACTTCCCCAACTTGAGACGCGTTGCGCGCACTGGGTACAACCAGTAAGGTCCTGATTTTTAGTGAAATCCACAGCGATGGTGAAAAAAAACCAGTTTTCTTTCCTGGTTGCCATCGCTGGTGAAATCAGAATTTCTGATGACGAACTACCCGGCCTGGTGAACATACAAAAAACTGATGGGAAAATCACAATGTTCTAGCTAGGTAAATCCACGAACTCAATCACCATTTTCAAGTTCGCAAACTATTAAACTGTAACAAATTACCAGAGGCTAGTGAAATCACCCATGTTTTCGATGTCTAAATTTCTAAATCTTTTCTCGTAGCCAAGACACAATGAGGGCACCCACCAAGATGTAGTTGTCCATATTGGATTGCGACAGGGAGAACACATCACGTACATCTTCCCGAAAGAGACCCCACTGTGCCTGGGGTTTTTGTTGGAGAGTTGGAGGTGGGCCGGGCGGGCCGCCACGGGATTTGATAGGCCTCCCGGGAGAGTGTGGATAGCTCATATTGTATATTATATATATACATACATATATATATAACCATAGTAGGATATACTGTACTTGGCTATAGCCTTAACTGGGTTTTCCAAGCATACTGAATAATGCTGATTGATATTTATTGATGGTTGCTAAGTCGGGTGGACATACATTGTCTGAACACGGGATTTCTGATCAAACCTGAACAGCGCGGTTGCCCTGACATAAAATGCCAGTAACATCCAGTAACCAACTTCCATGAATGAAACGTTGGATCCATGGAAAAATCCTCAAATGACCATACCGAACATCATTCTATCCGTAGCCAAACTACCCATGGTCATGACTCCTAGGCTTGTTTTGACGCAGATTGTGGAAGAACATTCACGAATCTGGCAGAATTATGATGATTCATACTCCTGAGATATTCTTGATTCTTCGGCCTTTGGCATTACCATGATACACATTTACTATATGTTTACATATATCATTGCATATCATATGCTTGTCGGAAAATGGTGTCCCATAAAAATAACCATGGTTGATCATGATTGTCCTCCTTCAAACGGCCGTATCAACATGGATAAACATGGGTATACATGGGTAAACCCTATCGCCCGTTGAGCCACCCATATGGTGACAGCAATGGGTCAACGGGGATGATGGTGCGAAAATGATGGCTGCCATGATGGACAGGCCGGTTTTTGCATTGCATGTTTTCATCATTTGTTTCTAACCCATTGCTAATCAAATATAATCATGTTTTAATCATGATTTAAGATGTTTTATATAATTTTTTAGACCCGTCTTTCTCATGATGTTGGCTGCCCCTGGCAGTAATTCAATATGATTCAATGCCTTTGGGGGATGGCCCGCATCGGTTTTGAGATCATATGCTGATATATGGTCTGGTCGGCCCTGTTTCGTCCCAGCTAATATCCAAACAATTGGGAGTTTTAAAAAGAGTCAAATTCAACAACATGTACCCACATCCCAGTATCAGTTAAGGCTTTGAGCTAAAATCATCAACAAATTCATTCCTGGGTGCTTCACCCCACGGATCCGTTTCTTGGGCTAATTCACCAGCCATTATGTGTTCTGGCTGAATAATGATAATTTTACCAACTTGAAAATCGCCTAGCTGCAATGTAATTTTGATCATTTACTCACTGTATCGAAGTGTGAATTGAGATAATTTACCCTCCGGTAATCTAACATAGCTATTGAACATGGCCCATTTATTTATAGTTGATTTACCGTTCTTAAAGATGGTGAATCTTTCCAGTTCGCCATGTTAAATTACCAGAGGGTACTCACCAATTGGGGATGACGGGATGATTCCAGGGACGGAAAAACATGCTGGATTTTACCATTTAAAAAAAGAACTCAACCATCCTGAAATGGAATGCATAGTCCATCATATATTGCACAGTACATAATACATATATATATAATATAATTGAAACTTCCCAAAATGAATAGATCCAATATGATCCAATACATTCCAACACATTTACGAGGCTTTTAAGTTTGTGGAGTTTCCGATTGGGGCGTCTGGCGATTATCCCAAATATCCCAAAGCGTCTGACTTACCAGAAATGTGTGCCGTTTTAACCAGCCTAAAACAAGAAGGTTTATGATTACCATATTATGATTGATTATTAGAATAAAATCATACTTATTACGAAATCTAGATCGAAATGTGGACCTCAACATGTCACACTTGTTATACCTTTGAGTCCAGACACTAGGCGCATGTTTTGGATCTGATAGATGCAATCCTGTCGTTGCTCGGCATCAAACTTGAAGCGCCCCAGGTTATAAAAGTACGCCGTGGCCGCGTAGCCCGCAGCCGACGCCATCAACGGAGTAAACATGGCGCCGCGGTTCCAACAACGGGCGCTTCGCCCGTGGCCCCGCGACGACTGAAGTTTTGGGTGGAAAAATGGCTGGAAGATAAAGATGCTACACACGAGAGACTGTGTTTTTCTTTTTTTCAATGAACATGACATGTTTTCTACTTTGGAAATTGTCATAATTTTCTACTTTGGAAAACAATAAGGAGTTGATCTGAGGATACACTATAAGTTTCTGCCCATCATCCCTATGGTAATCCCTATGGGACCATCCCAAAACGGTCCAACTTTTCTCCATGGCACAGTGGTGAGGAAAATCACTGGCAGGTCTTCATACGCAAATATGGCAGACCATGCTATACCGAAATGGCGTTTCATCCAGACCCACGCTGGTTTCGAAAGTGAGTGTCCCTTCATCGAAAACGTCAATCATGGATTAATCAATCGTCAAGTTACGTAAGGATTCCTGATCATCCCAAACATATGGTGAGTATAATCCCCAGCCGTTCATCAACTACCTGAGTTTTGGCAGCTGTTGGCCAACTTTCAGGGGCATTTCATGAGGAAACATTCAGATGGCCATACTTTCCCATCTTCGTTACCCTCTGGTAAACTAAACAGTTTGCTATTGAAAATGGTGATTTATAGTGGATTTTCCCATTGAAAATGGTGATTTTCCATAGCTATGTTAATTTACTGGAGGGTAATGATAAAAGTCAGCATGTCATCAACATGCGCAGACGCAGTGAAACAGATCCCCAAAATGATTATCCCAGATGTCTTGAAAACTGTTTCGCTGAACAACCGTTGTTGTCACTTCATCATTGACGCATCGATGGCCCATCTATTCGATAGCCACAGGATGGTGAAAACTCCACAAGTAATTCGTTGTTGATCCATTCCTGATGGGGTTATATCACCATTGAGCTATAGGCTATATATGCATGTAATACATTATATGGGGGTGGGTCAAAACCTATTATTATCAATTCTAATGGGATGAACATCCATTTACCAGCTATTTTGATGTTCACCAGGGGTACAAGGTTTTGACACATCCCCATATGTGTACCAGAAAACTATCCATCACCAGATGATAATACCAGTTGTATTGTAAAAAAAACCGTATTATATTGTACCCCGTATATCCCAATTATACCCATCAATGGTTGGTTCTCCACTGATTCATAGTCATATTCCCACGAATTTTGTTCTTTCAAGTTCTTTTGAAGGGTTGTAAGCAGCAATTTCTGACATCAGTATCCTATCAATATCCCGCTTTGTTGGATAGTATACCGTCAATATCCCATCGATAGCCCCATCATTTTTGATGGCATGAAACCACCAATGAGTATCCCATTAATATCTCATTAAATATCCCATGATTAAAACCATCATTAAGCCAATACGGTATAATTTCATTGATCTGCTATCAACCAAGACGGTCTCATAGTCTAATCATCCTCCGCAACACTATTACTTGTATATATATATGTATATATATATACAATATGTCTTCTACTCCCATGATAGATTCCCTCAAGTGATGGGGATTCCCCAGTCATGGTGGATGCTCCCCGGTAGTTCCGCGGTGTCGTTTCCTTAAACGACCCTCCTTGGGCAGGGCTTCAATCAGCTTCGTTCGGTACAAGGCGCAGAGGCCCTTGTGGTCCTAGAGCTGGTCAGCTGGGACCCCCCAGAATGCCACTGATTGCAAGGGGAAATGATGATAATGATTGCAGATGTGCTTCCGTAGCTCGCACATTAGTTCCCAAGGGGAAAGGGGTGAAAACAGATGCAGAAAATGAACCTCTCACACTGCCGCGCAAGAACTGCACACGCTCAGCAAGCCGCACGGCCGCGCGCATCTGCAGCCATCCGCATAGAAGAGCGCGGGGCGAAGCACTGGCAATAGGGGGCACGACACCTTATATGGCAAAAACAAGTTTTTTACTGAAACAATATAAAATAATTGTATATAAAAAAGTAATAGTAATAGAAAGTAATAACAATAAAGGGTGGTCCCCACCGACCGCTGTGGCCCCCGCCGAACCCGAACAGCAAACCCAGGATCAGAGTGGTCCCCGCCGGACCTCGACCACAATGAATCTTCGAAGATATAGCAGATAGAATGCCAGAAAGAATGTCAGAAGATATGCCAGATACAGTTGAGCTCTGGCGGAGGAGGCGGCCAGCTGACATAAAATCTAACAACCAGAAGCCTGGAATTTCATTAAAAACTAGTTGTAGTTTCCTCATCATATCCTAAGATTTAATTCCCCTAAAATACCCATTACATACCCATTAAGTTTGAAAACCTGAGAAATCGCAGTTTTTTTATGATAAAACAATGATGATCAAGAATCCATGTTTGGGGTTTTCTCCTGCATGTTCAAGCCACTTTGTGCATAGGTGATTTTCCTAGAGTACTCTCTAGGGAACAAACGTATCCACTTTTTTTGTGGAAAAAAAGTTTTTTTGGATACGTTAGCTGCTGTGAACATAGGCTATGATAAATGCCCTATACTTGAGACATGTTAGTTGAAAATCCAGAATGGACATGTTAGTGGAAAAGTTGTCCCCCCCTCTGGGGGTTCCCGGGAAACTGCCAGAAGACTACCGCCCCGGACGCCCCAGCATCTTTTTTTCCAGACCCCAATAGGGCTCAAATCAAAGACCGCGTTGACAACAAAACGGTGGAGAAAAAAGGGGTCCCAACTCCTTCCGGAAGAGCGCATCATAGATGATGCTCGTGGGTGGGCAGGAAGATTGGGGGTGCATTCCAAAAACCAGTTGCATTTACTAAGGGTTGGATGACTGGCCATGGAAAGCGTCCACCTAACGTGTCCGTGTTGTTCAGAGGATGTGGTTTTGAGATATGTGAGTGGTTATTGGCTGAACCTATCCCCCCAAAATAGCGAACATATCCCAGATCAGGGTCGAAATCCAAGGGCCCCAATTGCAGGAACTGAGACATGTTAGCTGTTTTTGGGTCAATGGTCCCAAAAAAAGTTGCAATGCATTCCCCAGGAAATCCAGGAAAACGCCAGTACAGAGTGGACATGTTAGTGGAAAAGTTGTCCCCCCCTCTGGGGGTTCCCGGGAAACTGCCAGAAGACTACCGCCCCGGACGCCCCAGCATCTTTATTTCCAGACCCCAATAGGGCTCAAATCAAAGACTGCATTGATAACAAAACGGTGGAGAAAAAAGGGGTCCCAACTCCTTCCGGAAGAGCGCATCATAGATGATGCTCGTGGGTGGGCAGGAAGATTGGGGGTGCATTCCAAAAACCAGTTGCATTTACTAAGGGTTGGATGACTGGCCATGGAAAGCGTCCACCTAACGTGTCCGTGTTGTTCAGAGGATGTGGTTTTGAGATATGTGAGTGGTTATTGGCTGAATCCTATCCCCCCAAAAATAGCGAACATATCCCAGATCAGGGTCGAAATCCAAGGGCCCCAATTGCAGGAACTGAGACATGTTAGCTGTTTTTGGGTCAATGGTCCCAAAAAAAGTTGCAATGCATTCCCCAGGAAATCCAGGAAAACGCCAGTACAGAGTGGACATGTTAGTTGATACCTGAAACGGTAGCCCGAGACACGTATCCACTTTTTTTGTGTTTTTTTTGGATACGTTAGCTGCTGTGAACATAGGCTATGATAAATGCCCTATACTTGAGACATGTTAGTTGAAAATCCAGAATGGACATGTTAGTGGAAAAGTTGTCCCCCCCTCTGGGGGTTCCCGGGAAACTGCCAGAAGACTACTGCCCCGGACGCCCCAGCATCTTTATTTCCAGACCCCAATAGGGCTCAAATCAAAGACTGCATTGATAACAAAACGGTGGAGAAAAAAGGGGTCCCAACTCCTTCCGGAAGAGCGCATCATAGATGATGCTCGTGGGTGGGCAGGAAGATTGGGGGTGCATTCCAAAAACCAGTTGCATTTACTAAGGGTTGGATGACTGGCCGTGGAAAGCGTCCACCTAACGTGTCCGTGTTGTTCAGAGGATGTGGTTTTGAGATATGTGAGTGGTGATTGGCTGAATCTATCCCCAAAAAATAGCGAACATATCCCAGATCAGGGTCGAAATCCAAGGGCCCCAATTGCAGGAACTGAGACATGTTAGCTGTTTTCGGGTCAATGGTCCCAAAAAAAGTTGCAATGCATTCCCCAGGAAAACGCCGGTACAGAGTGGACATGTTAGTTGATACCTGAAACGGTAGCCCGAGACACGTTTGTTCCCGGGAGTGTATCCAAAAAACCCGCTGTTAGTGTGTGGAGGCTATGGCATTTATGGCTAATGCACACCCATTTAATCTCCATGATATACACCCAAAGTGTATAATGTTATAGACCCAAAATCAATTCATCCTCAAAATCACTACAAATGGATTCTAACCATCCCCACATGGTACTCTCTGGTAAACATACAAAAAACGAACTGGAAAATCACCATGCTATTCATGGGTAAATCAACTATTTCTATGGCCATGTTCAATAGCTTTTTGTATGTTTACCAGAGGGTACCCCCAGTTATCATCCATGTTAGATTGGGATTGTCCATTATGAACCAACCATTTTGGGGTACCTCCATTTATGGAAACCCCCATATGTGCCCAGTTAGCTACCACCTTCCCTGTCACCACAATGCCCCAGTGAATCCACCATAGGCTTTCCAATGCCCACAATGCTCCCATCATTCCAACGAATACACCCAACAAATACCAAGTTTATATACCCAATACTAAGCCCCAATTTTACACATACATGTCTATATATATATGTATATATATATATATAATATGTAGATGTATATAAGAACATGTATAATATATATATATTATATACTGTATATATATGTGTATATATATAATAATACTATATAAGTATAAAGAATGAATGTATATATATATATGTATATGTATAAATATGTACATTTGAAAATTGTATGTGTATGTATATAGTAGTGGAGTGGAGTTGTATTGGATATATGCAATGTACAGTATGTAGGGCGTGTCTGGAAATTGGGTGTACGGTATACTCCGAAAAACAACCATTGAGTACGCAAAAAACGGTCATGGTTCCGAGGAATAGTATGGTATCTTGGGATACTCTATATTTTCAAACAAAGCCATATATAAACAACATACATTATATTATTGTACCCTGCTTATACCCTAGTTATGTATATATATATATACATATATATATATCCATTGTATATTGTATACCCTATTATATAAACAAAATACATTATTATATACCCTAGTTATTGTATACCCTAATGGAAATCCATATTCTTATGGCATATCCATATTGAATAGCCATTCAAAAAAATCCACCGATGTCCAACCGAAAAAAAAAAAAAGGCGCCTCCCGCGGCACTTTGGCCACTTCCTCCTCGTACACCGCCTGATCGCCATGGATCAAGACCAAAGCGGGTGACTTAACCCATCCCCATAGAGTAATTGGGCTGATTAATATATATATATATATATTTATTATTGTTATTATTGTTATTATTATTATATATATATATAATTATATATATATATTTATTGGAAGGTGTATTCCGGGAATGTAACATATGGTTTAGCAGATATTTTGTTTGTTGTGGTAGGGAATTCTAGACTATTGAATATTGGGGTCCATTCGGGACTATTGAACTATTTTGTTTAAGATGTTTTAATCATCCAATATCAATGTTTGGTCCAATATATACTAGTACTATACTATTACAGACTTTGAATTGATCCAACTATGGTCTGTTTTAATCATCTAATATAGTTCAACCATAGATCCAATAGACTATGACTATGACCTTCAGATAGACTTCACAAAACCTATAGCACTCAATTGCGGTATGGACCTACCCCAATCCGATTTAGTCTATTTGCAGTATCAATTCGATAGCATGGATGATTCATACCATAATCAATCATATTCATACTACAAATAGACTAAAATAATCCAAAGCCATGGTCCCCAGGTTTTCAATGTCTCTCATTTTGACTCTACCCATTTAGTGCTGTAGAAATTAGCGATGCCTTTTTTTTGGAACAGACATCAGAATCAAAAGTTAGATTAAAGAACAGAAATGAGAAACTCGAAGAAAGACGGAGGACAAACAAATACCAAAGAAATTGAAGTTAAAAAACTTCAAACTTAAAAACCGTAAGACATCTGTCAAGGACATCTGTCAACATGAAAACAGGGGGAAAAAAAAAAAAAACACTGCAACAACTGGGCCAGCCACCAGCCACCTAGCCATAAATCACCGGGTGTTCGGACATTGAGCCGTATTCGGAAGACCACATGGGTACCAACATCTCCCTGACACCGGCGGGAATGACCATGGTGACTCCCGGAGAATCAACTCGACTGGTGTTGTGCGTCCGTTGGTTGTTTTATGGAAAAAAAACCATGGGTTTCAAATGGTTTCAATACTGAAATGGTCATTCATGACATGATTTGGGGGTACCCCCATGACTTGGAAAACTCCATTTAAGGTTACCCTCTTGTAAACAAAAACATAGCTATTGAACAAGTCAATGGGAAGGATGACATCCCATATATTATGGAAAATAACATACTGGTTGGTGGTATACCTACCCCTCTGAAAAATGTGAAAACTCGTCAGTTGGGATGATGAAATTCCCAACTGAATGGAAAGTCATAAAATTCATGTTCCATAAAATTCATGTTCCAAACCACCAACCAGTCATATGTCCGCACAATTTGATTAAAGCTAGCTGAATTTCGATTCAAAAATTGCTGAATCACCAACCTGATTTGTTTCAATGATTTTGGGATAGTGTGTCTTGCAAAAATACCCTCTGGTTATTTAACATAGCCATGGAAAATGGCCCATAGAAATAGATGGTTTACCTGGGTTTACCTATTAATAGCATGGTGATTTTCCATGGCAAACTGTTAGTCATAACCAGATGGTAACATTTATTGTGGCCAGCCCGCCGGTGAAGTCATCAAAAAATCCAGCCAGGCCAGATCTATCGATCCAAAAACTTGAGGCTTAGATCCCCATAAACCACGGTCGGTTCACCGTGGTGAAATCGAGTTTTTCTTCATGGTCAACTCTCGAATTCTTCATGATCACCATGGTTATTTTTTCTTTTTCGAATCCTCGGGTTCATGGTAGATATTGTAGATCAGCTCCATTCTTGGTCATGTTCATGGTCAACTCGGCTTCTTGGTCAGCTGTTTTCATGTGGAACATCACCTCCATCCCCTTGTTGGTTAAATCACATTAAATCTGATGCACTGCGAAAAACCACAGTTTTCAATGGTTAAATCACCACTTTCGAATTGTGAAATCTCAATCTGTGATAGTTAGACAGTTAGACCACCATTTTCCAGAGTTCAAGCACCATTTTCCAGAGTTCAACCACCATTTTCCAGAGTTCAAGCACCATTTCTTCATGGTCTTCTCAGCATTTTCCCATCGGTTTTCCACGCTATCCCGTCCTCCAAATGTTGCCGCTGCTCTGTGCAATCCACCTGGGACGATTTTGAAATATGTTGTCATCCCGCCGCAATGGGAGTTCTTGGCTGATGGACTACGGGAATTCATTGGGTTAGCCTAGGAAATATCAATTTCTTATGGGAATGGTGAAATAACGTCAACATCAAACCAGGGAAAATTCCTGGGAAATATATGAAGATTTGGGGAAAACATGGAATTTTTGATGGAATATCCAATAGTTATGGATATATAGACAGCTTGGTGGTATACCTACCCCTCTGAAAAATATGAGTTCGTCAGATTGGATCATCATCCCAACTATTGGGGAAAATAAAAAATGTTCCAACCACCAACCAGTAGAGTTATTTATAACCAATAAGGAATTCCCATGATAACACAATAGAATATAGTTATGGGAAATATAGAGATAGTCCTGCCAGAAATATAGATATACCAGAACATATGGATTATACCATCTCTAGAAAATATCTTATATCATTGGACAACTATAGTTTTCTGGGAAATATAGAGATAGTACTGCCAAAAAATATGAGATTTTTTTGTGGAATATTTAATCGAGTTATGGGATAAAAAAAATTATGGACTACGGTAATATAACTATAATGAGTTACTGGATGTTACTGGAAATATAGATCCAATATTTATGGCAGTTCTGGGGTTATGATTATAGTTTTCTGGGATTTGTCAACTGGAAAATACTGAGATATTTTTACCATAACTATAATGGAAAAAATGGATATAATCAAGATATACTGGGAAAAAAACATTGGAATCATTGGATTCTCCTTTTTCCCATATTATGAGGTTTCTTGAATATGTTGACTAATCACAAAAAAAAAAAACAAAATCCCCAACCCATGGGTATTAACCCCGACGATCGTTCATGAGGGGAAAGTTCAATCCACGAAAAAAAGTGGGAAAATGGTGTTACCCTCTGGTAGTTTAACGTAGCTATTGAAAATGGTGATTTATAGTGGATTTACCGATGAAAAATGGTGATTTTCCCATAGCTATGTTAAATTACCAGAGGGTAACATGCAACTTGACAAAATCTTGGCACAAAAAAATAGCCCTTGACATTTCATTAGAACGGCCAGTTCACTGGCCATGCAACAGGAACCGATAAAAATTGAAGGTACCGATTCCATATATGTTTGGCCTATATAAGTATAAGGCCTATGTAAGGGAATATCCCCAGAAAATATGGCCTCAAAAATGATACAATACCTCCATCAATTGGATCCTGAAATTCCCATTGACCAGTTTTCTGGTATGAAATACACCAAGTGCAGCAACAGCAAGAACAATTCCTGCATCGACCTTGTATCAAGGTGGTTGATACCCACTTCGTCGTATGCTTTTGATGTATGCCATTTATGTCTCCCAAAAAAAAAATCAAATTGTGGCCTCATCGATGTATATAATATGTATCTAGTATGACTAAATGATTCAAACAAAAGCGATTGACATTTCATGCCACAGAGATATTAGATTCTATAGAAACCAGCATTGACCTGGCAATCCTGAATTTTCTATCCGAAAGAAGGGGCCTGGGGCCAAGTCGGTGTGACAGTTTTTTTCTAGACCCTCAACCCAGTGTCATGAGGGGTTCGCTGGATGGCACTTGACCTGGATGACCCTCGCTGGATGGTCATGGAAAATCCCATTGATAAATGGAACGGATGAGAACTAGGGCTATACATGACTTGACGATTTTTGAAGCCCCACATGACTTGAACCCACTCATTGAATCATTGAATCATTGCTGTCCCAAAGTAAGTAGGTGGCATTGATCTTCCCAAACGGCACCTCCATGACTTGAAGGCCTGTGGCATACGCAAACCATGAGGAGAGCGCACCTCCAAGGCGATTTTTTCAATTCCGCAAATCGATGTTGAAGGGCCATTTTACGGGATTTAAGAGCTATAGAATTGGATAGAACCCATCATATCTTATGAAAGTTGGGATTAAAATTAAGTGATCTTGCTAATTTGGAGATATTTGTTATTGGGACATAACCACAATAATGAGATGTAATGCGATCTAATGGGATACGTAAGCAACAATGGCCACATGGCCGAATGGAAAACATGAGGATCATCCGTTCGTTTTTTACGGGCATAACAACTATCCCAAATGACATAAGAATACATAGACAGTTAAGGAAAAAAAACAGTAAATGATACTACTATAGTACTGATAGCATTCAATAGGCATACTATACACAATGATAATAATATACTATAATTTTAATAGCAAAAACACTATACCATGTTGTTGCTTCACAATGCCCAAGATTCACCGCATGGGGCTATCTCAAAAATAGGGGATGCGCCCTTATTTGATGGCAATGTTAATGAGATACTGTTGACCAAAGGCACATTGTTACACGCGCGTTAAATCACCACCAGTTTTTGGAAATGTTTCACCCCTGAAGAATGACAAATCATCTGGGGACCCTTGGAAAATGTCCGCTGCTGCCTCAAAAAAGAATATTGGCAATGTTGATCCGTTATTGTTGAGGTGTTGGTTGACCAAAAGTAATATCAACTTCATTTGTGTTGGTAAAATCGCAATTTTGGAGCCGTCAAATCAATCATATTTTGGTTGACCAAACCAAATCTTGCTTGCCTACAATCACAATGCTTTGTTGGCTTAACCCCCATGAAAAACTTGAATGGATTTTGGCTCACCAAAGAAGTTACAAAGAAGTTACCATCTGGTTATTTAACATAGCCATGGAAAATCACCATGTTTAATAGGTAAACCATCTATTTCTATGGACCATTTCCCATGGCTATGTTAAATAACCAGATGGTAACTTCTTTGTTACCACTTGTGCATCTCAAAACGATGTCACGATGTCCCGGCTTTGCTTCAAAAGCCATCAGAAAAGCCACCAGAAGACCAGGCCCTCGGCCCTTAAGCGAGACATGGGCCCGCCCTTCCCGCGCCCTTCGGCGCCCCAAACGGCGCCCTTCGGCCCTGGCACCTTGCAGCACTGCGATGCGGGTCGTGCGCCGCAAGTCTGCCATCATGTCCAGGACGTCCTGGGCTGGGAATCAGTGGGAATCATCATTGATTATGATAAGAAACTGTGGATGGGCCAGCGAAATCCGAATCACCAGTTGAAAACGGTGGTAATACCATCCCATTATGAACATAGGGTTTCAACCATCCCAAATTGGTGGCGCAGTTAATACCCCTATAATCACTAATAGTGGGAATGACAGTTAATTATTAATGATAATAGGGGTAATTCAATTATAATAGTGGGAATGATAGTTGATTGGGATGATAATAGGGGTAATTCGAAAAATAATGCGAATTGCTATATTTATTATCGGTAATTATTGAATTCCCACTATTATCATCATTCATCATCATTTATCATTGATCATAATTAGGTAATGAATATTGATCATTAGGGGTTACATTTACTGATGATAAATGATGATAATAGGTATCAATTGATAGTGTATCGATTAGGATGACCAAGTGCATTATAACATATTCTAACCCTTATGCCCATCGCAGATTTTCTAACGACTAGAACAGGTTAGATAATTAACCATCTATAAGAGGAACAGAAGACATTATATAATCATATATATATATATTACATCGCAAGGGTTGCTCACCAGGAACTCTGCTTTTTTTGGGGGGGCATCATTTTGTTTGGCATCCCTAAACCAAGTTCATCCTTTAAGTTGAATCCAAAACCTGGCAACCCAAGTTCCCATAGCATCCATGTAGTATCTATATGTATCTATGTAACTCTGTTCACTCTATTATTGCGCAAATTTGTACTCTAGTATCCAAATACGTACAAAATAGTATCCACTGGTAATCCACTGGTAAATTCTGAAAAACTCTCAACTATCAACCGACTCCAATTCGTGACATCTTCAATGATAAGTCAATGATAAGTCACAATTATACGTTGTTCAAGCCATGTAATTCGTGTGAGTCTGTGCAATAGGCCATCCTGACTGCAACCTCTCCCAGGGCACAAGGGAAAAAAACACCCTACAAACAGAAAAAAACCTCATGCGCAGGGGGGGTATGTGCAGTGTTGGCCCTTCAGGCAATTATCCCCGTATGATATTGGATACCCTCTGGTAATTTAAGATAGCTATTGAACATGGCCCATTTATAGTTGATTTACGTATTGAAGATTGTGATGTTCCATAGCTATGTTAGTTTACCAGATGGTAATTAAACCAATTCAATGTGCTCACCGCAACATCATCTTCTCCAAAATCCAAGTGCCGTTGCTGCTGATATGTCCTCGTTGGTTGTATCCAAGTCCAACTGTTGATAGTTAAATCTTGTTGACTCCCATATGATTTAAAGATCCCTTTTCATATAGATAACCACAACTTCATCTCCCAGTTGCTATGTGTGCTTCTTAATTCAATTATATATATATATATATCACCATGACATACCAATTGTACCACACCTTTGTTTTTCAATACGTATACATATACATATCCATATATATATATCCATAGAATGAATATGTTTGGCTTAATTAGCCATGTTTGGTCCATCAAAATCCATTGCTGATGGCTAAATCCCATCATTGTGAGACACTTATTTACACCACAAGCCATTGAAAATTCCAATAAAATTCCGCCAGTCTTGGTTGCAATATGTTACAATCCCCCAAGTATCCCATTCAGTCCCATAATGTCCCACATGTATATAATGTCAACCCCGGATTTTGCTAAACCCTGGTTTATTAATTAGGGGGGTACCCTTCCAATAGTCATAATTAATGATACTTAAATGGTACCCTCCCAATTAAACAATCTAGGGGTTTATTAATCCAGGGTTGACATTATATATATATATATATACAGTTTGTAGATAGTCCCATTTCATAAAGACAATCCCCAATCTATATCCCCATTGCTGAAAAGTATATCTGGGTAAATGATCATATTTCACTAACCTGAATAGTTCGGCCATTTGATGATTCCCCGAATCCAAAACCCATGGAATCCCAGGGCTCGGTGGTCGAACGACGTGTTTCGGTCGTGATAATGAAAGGTTACCCAGGTCTTTCCGATTCAATGCCAAAATTTCATTAAAAAATCCCAAACAAGCATCGCTGGTAGTGATGATCACCTGCTCCGCGCGATGGCTTTGAAGAACCTTCGTGATCTGCCGATGGCTTTCAAACTCCACCTGCCAAGATCATCCGTCAGAACTAGGTTTCTTCACCAACGAAAATCTGGGATTCCGTGGGGATAAACCCACCATCCCCCAGGAAAAGCACCAGAAATTGATAGGTGGTATGTAAAAACCAACCATTCCCAGGAAAATGGGTGGTTGATTGTTTTACCTGTTTTACCCACAAAAAAATCCACATTAGTTGGAAGATCATCCCATTAGTTGGTCAGCAATACTCGATGATCCTCCAGGCATGGCACCAACCGAACAAAAATTACACCACCGTAGACCCCAAACAGTGGGTGGATTCAAGACGTGTTGAGGAACAGGGTCAAACACATGACATGAGAAAGCATTAAGAACCCCTAACCGTACACTGTTTGGGAAAAAATGCAAAATGAGACCACCCGCTACAGGGAAACAAGAAGAGAGACAAACTGGGAGACAATATAGGAGACAAGACCTCGGGAAGGCGGACACACCATCCAACACCAAGGCGGACACCTTAAGAAAGCCCACCCCAACAGTACACTGTTTGAAAAAATGCAAAATCAGACCACCCACCACAAAGGGAAACAAGAAGAAAGACAAGTTGGGAGACAAGCTGGGAGACAAGAAGGAAGACAAGCTGGGAGACAAAGGAGACACAGGAGACAAAACATCGGGAAGGTGGACACACCATCCAACACAGGGAAACAAGAAGGGAGACAATGGGAGACAAGGGGGAGACAAGACCTCGGGAAAGTGGACGCACCATGCAACACAGGTCACACATATCTAGGGAGACAATGGGAGGTAATGAAAACCAACACTTCGGGAAGGTGGACCATCCAACACAGGCACATGTGGGGAGACAATGGGAAACAATTGCAGGCAACGGGAGACAATGGGAGACAATGGGAGGCACGTGGAGACAACCGGAGACAAGGATAGACAAGAAGGGAGACAAGGGGAGACAAGACTTCGGGAAGGCGGACACACCATCCAACACAGGCACACATGTGGGGACAATGGGAGACAATTCGGAAACAAGACGTCGGGAAGGCGGACACACCATCCAACACAGGTGCACACATGCGGGGAGACAATGGGAGAGAATGGGGAGCAATGGGGGACCAGGGGAGACAAGACCTTGAAAAGGCGGGCACACCATTGAAGCAAGGGAACGATGGAAGACGACAAGGGGAGACAAGACCTTGCGAAGGCGGACACACCATCCAACACAAACGCATATTGTGGGGAGACAATCGGAGACAAGCGGAAAGACCTCGGGAAGGCAGACACACCATCCAACACAGGCACATGTGGGGAGACAGTGGGAGACAATGGCAGACAAGGGAGAGGCCAGAGAAGGCAGACATACCATCACAGGCACACATGTGGAGAGACAATCGGAGACAAAAAGGGAAGACAACACGTCAGGGAAGGCAGACCCACCATCCAACACAGGCAAACGTGTGGGGAGACAATGCGAGACAATGCGCTCAATGGGACAGAAGGGGTGAGAAGGGGAGACGAGACCTTGGGAAGGCGGACAGGCCATCCAACACAGGCACACATGTGGGGAGACAATGAGAGACAAGACGTCAGGAAGGCGGACGCACCATCCAACACAGACACACATGCGGGAAGACAATGGGAAACATTGGGAGACAAGGGAGAGACAAGACATCGAGAATGCAAATACATCATCCAACACAGGCACACATGTGGGGACGAGACAACGGGGGAAAGTGGAGACAAGGTACCGGGACGGCGGACACGCCAACCAACAAAAAGGAAACACGAAGGGAGACATTGGGTGGGAGACAAAGGGAGACAAGACCAAGGCGAACACCTTAAGAATGCGTTAAGAACCCCTAGAGCAGTACAATGTTTGGAGGACAAGAAAGGAGATAATGTTGAGAGAAGGGGGGCAAGATGCTTGGGAAGGCGGACACACCAGCCAACGAAGGGAAACAAGAAGGGGTACAATGGGAGACAACGGGAGACAAGACCGTCGGCAAGGCGAACACACCTTCCAACAAGGGGAGTCAAGAAGGGGTACAATGTGAGGCACAGGGAGACAAGACCCTCCGAAAGGCAGACGCACCATCCAGGTACAATGGGCAATGGGAGACAAAGGGGAACAAGAAAGAAGGGGTACAATGGGAGACAAGTGGAGACAAGACCTTGGGGAAGGCGGGCACGCCATTCAACACCAAGGCGGCCATCGTAAGAAAGCATAAAGAACCCCTAACAGTACACCGCTTGGCGACCAAGAAGGGAGACAAGGCGAGACAAGGGGAGTCAACGTGTCCCCTCGGGAAGGCGGACACACCAGCCAACAAAGGGAAACAAGAAGCGGTAAAAGGGGAGTCAAAGGGAGAAAAGAGGAGACAAGACTCTCAGGAAGCAGACACCATCCAACAAAGGGAAACAAGGAGGGAAACCAGAAGGGAAACAAGAAGGGAGACAAGGGGAGACAAGACTCTGGGGAAGGCGGGCACACCATCCAACGGGGAGATAGGTGACACAAGGGGAGACAAAGGGACACAAGGGGAGACAAGAGGACACAAGGGGAGACAAGACCCTCGGGAAGGCGGACGCACCCCAGCTGACAAAGGGAAACAAGGGGAGACAAGACCCCCGGGAAGGCGGACGCACCACCCAACAAAGGGAAGCAGGAAGGGAGACAATGGGGAGACAAGGGGAGACATGACCCTTGGGAAGGCGGACACACCATTCAACACCAAGGCGGCCACCTTAAGAAAGCATTAAGAGCCCCCAACAGTACACCGCTTGGCAACCAAGAAGGGAGACAAGGCGAGACAAGGGGAGTCAACTTGTCCCCTCGGGAAGGCGGACACACCATCCAACAAAGGAAAACAAGAAGAGTTAAAAGGGTAGTCAAGGGGAGAAAAGGGGAGACAAGACCCCCAGGAAGCTGACACCATCCAACAAAGGGAAACAAGAAGGGAAACAAGGGGAGACAAGACTCTGGGGAAGGCGGGCACACCATCCAACGGGGAGATAGGTGACACAAGCGGACACAAGGGGAGACAAAGGGACACAAGGGAGACAAGAGGCCACAAGGGGAGACAAGACCCTCGGGAAGGCGGACGCACCATCCAACAAAGGGAAGCAAGAAGGGAGACAATCGGGAGACAAGGGGAGACAAGGGGAGACAAGACCCTTGGGAAGGTCACTGTTCACTCATTGCATGCCCTCAGACGGATCGGAAGAGGTCGCTGCTGATTACAGCGTGACTGAAACACCAGCTGAAGGAACCGAGGCGGCTGGCGAAGCAGGAAGCGTCGAGCAGACAGCTCCGTCTACTGCTGACCCGGTAGCCGAAGATTCCCGAAACTGGGCCGATCTTTCTGAGGTATTTGAATCGACAGCGGCTTCTGATCAGGTAGCAACTGCTGAACTTGTCCCCGTGAAGGAGGAGGAGCAGGAACTACAAGAGGCTCAGTCGTTGGGCGCGGTTTTATCTACAATAGGTCTGCCAGAGGAGGTCGCTGACGAACCCGTCGCGACGGAGGAAAGTGCACTGGACTTTGAACAACCTTCGGATCAACAATTTTCGGACACACCATCCAACAAAGGGAAACAAGAAGGTACGGGAGACAAGGGGAGACAAGACCCCCGAGAAGGCGGACACGCCATCCAACAAACGGAAACAAGAAGGTGTACGAGGGAACAAGGGAGACAAGGGGAGACAAGACCCTCGGGAAGGCGGACACACCATCCAACACCAAGGCGGACACCTTGAGAAAGCATTAAAAACCCCTAACAGTTCACTGCTTGGGGAATGAAGGGAGACAAAGCACAGACAAGACCGGCGAGGCGGACACCACCACTCAGGGAGACACATGAAGGGAGACAAATGAAGGGAGACAAGGCACAGACAAGACCGGAGAGGCGGACACCACAACTCAGGGAGACACATGAAGGGAGACAAGGCACAGACAAGACCGGAGAGGCGGACACCACCACTCGGGGAGACACATGAAGGGAGAGAAATGAAGGGAGACGCATGAAGGGAGGCAAATAAAGGGAGACAAGGCACAGAAAAGACCGGAGAGGCGGACACCACCACTCAGGGAGACACATGAAGGGAGACAAATGAAAGGAGACAAGGCACAGACAAGACCGGCGAGGCGGACACCACCACCAAGGGAGACAAATTAAGGGAGACAAATGAAGGGAGACAAATAAAGCCACAGACCCAGAGAGGCGGACACGGCCACTCAGGGAGACACGTGAAGGGAGACAAATGCTGGGAGACAAGGCACAGACAAGACCGGATAGGCGGACACCACCACTCAGGGAGACACATGAAAGGAGGCAAATGAAGGGAGACAAGGCACAGACAAGACCGGAGAGACGCACATCACCACTCAGAGAGACACATGAAGGGAGAAAAAAGGATTGGAGGGAGACAAGGCACAGACAAGACCGGCGAGGCGGACACCACCACTCAGGGAGACACATGAAGGGAGACAAATGAAGGGAGACAAGGCACAGACAAGACCGGAGAGGCGGACACCACCACTCAGGGAGGCACATGAAGGGAGACAAATGACGGGAGACAAGGCACAGACAAGACCGGAGAGGCGGACACCACCACTCAGGGAGACACATGAAGGGAGACAAATGAAGGGAGACAAGGCACAGACAAGACCGGGGAGGCGGACACCACCACTCAGGGAGACACATGAAGGGAGACAAATGAAGGGAGACAAGGCACAGACAAGGGCGAGGCGGACACCACCACTCAGGGAGACACATGAAGGGAAACAAATGAAGGGAGACAAGGCACAGACAAGACCGGCGAGGCGGACACCACCACTCAGGGAGACACATGAAGGGAGACAAATGAAGGGAGACAAGGCACAGACAAGACCGGAGAGGCGGACACCACCACTCAGGGAGACACATGAAGGGAGACAAATGAAGGGAGACAAGGCACAGACAAGACCGGAGAGGCGGACACCACCACTCAGGGAGACACATGATGGGAGACAAATGAAGGGAGACAAGGCACAGACAAGACCGGAGAGGCGGACACCGCCACTCAGGGAGACACATGAAGGGAGACAAATGCACAGACAAGACCGGAGAGGCGGACACCACCACTCAGGGAGACACATGAAGGGAGAGACACGAAGGGAGACAAATGAAGGGAGACAAGGCACAGACAAGACCGGAGAGGCGGACACCACCACTTCGGAAGACACATGAAGGGAGTAAAATGAAGGGAGACAGGAGACAGGGCACAGACAAGACCGGCGAGGCGGACACCACCACTCAGGGAGACACATGAAGGGAGACAAGGCACAGAACAGGAGAGGCGGACACCACCACTCAGGGAGACACATGAAGGGAGACAAATGAAGGGAGACAAGGCACAGACAAGACCGGCGAGGCGGACACCACCGCTCAGGGAGACACATGAAGGGAGACAAGGCACAGACAAGACCGGAGAAGCGGACACCACCAAGAGGCGAGACACATGAAGGGAGACAAATGAAGGGAGACAAGGCACAGACAAGACCGGCGAGGCGGACACCACCACTCAGGGAGATACATGAAGGGAGACAAATGAAGGGAGACAAGGCACAGACAAGACCGGAGAGGCGGACACCACCACACAGGGAGACACATGAAGGGAGACAAATGAAGGGAGACAAATAAAGAGACAGACCGAGAGAGGCGGACACGGCCAGTAACACAAGGGCGGACACCTCTTAAGAAAGAACTGAGAACCCCGCAGTAAACTGTTTGGGGAAAAAAAGTTACCGAGAAAACTTCGTGATTTGATCTCAAAGAATGGCATGTTGACCTAAAACCATTGGATTTCACTGAGACTTACATGGAGATGTCATTGTTTTTCACTCAGCAAAAAAAGATTGACTTTGAAGCAAGACACCATTATAAATTCATAGAATTTCCGCAACGGAAAATAAGGATTGCATAGTTCAGTCCTACAAAAGTCCCTCATTTTATAGATTACAGGGTCTGAAATATTGGCCCAAACATATATTCTCAGTTTCTGAGTTTCACAATATTGGGCCTGCTTTTCGAATATCTAGGTCCAGGTTATTTCGGCCATGCGAAGGTGAAACCACCGGTTTACCTGTTTTTACCTGGTTAAACCCACTTTCTGCGTTGATAAAACATCCCTTGTTTCATGGTTGTGGAGACCGTCAACTGAGTGTTCAGTTGGCCCTGTGTCGTCCCTTTATATTGTATCGCTAATTTATTGGTTAGTATAGTCCCCAACAAAATAATCGACCAACCATCATTTATCAATTATATCCAAGTCTTCTTCCATCATAAATCAAAACAGTAACAAAAACTATAAATGTTGTTCTAAGAATAGTTAAATCCAACCATCAACAAGGGTTTTAACCATATTTAAGCTAATGGTTCAGCCAGCATTTTCCATAGTTAAACCACATTGTTTCATAGTTAAACCACATTGTTTCATAGTTAATCCACCATTTTCCATAGTTAAACCACCATTTTCCATAGCTAAATCACCATTTTTTTATGCTTCTGGGGCCATACCTGCAGGACCTTCACATCCTCTCCGTCGCCAGCCACTCCGCCCTGGTTCTCGGATTTGATGTGTCAACTGGGAGTTTATCATACCTAGAATAGAAATGAACATGTAAATAAATATAATTATACACATATTTAATAATATATGTAATATATAATAATATATATGTATGATATATTTATAATATATAAAAATATAATAGAATATAATATAATATAATATAATATGATATGATATGATATCATATGATATCATATGATACAATATGATATGATATAACATAACGTAACATAACATAATATAAATATAAATATAAATATAGATATAATATAATACAATATAATACAATACTATATAATATAATATAATATAATATATTAGAATAGAATAGAATAGAATTAGAATAGAATAGAATTATTATATATACATGATCAGTCATAGGGGCCAATTATATTAGAAGCAACCTATGTTTAAGTTACAAATCATCACTATTTGGGGCTAACTCAATGGGAATTTCAGGATCCTAAAATGGAGGTACTGTACCATATAAGACCATATTTTGTGGGAATATTCCCTTACATAGGCCTTATATAGGCCTTATGTATGGTAGGTACCTCCAATTTAAGTTCCTGAAATGGCCATTGACTAACCCTGTCAATCAATCAACCAAGGTCTATTTATACGGGGTTGACATTAGTTAGAAGTACCAATAACCATAGTTATTGCACGTATTTGCGCCGATTTGGTCTAGGGGCGCCCACCTTGTACCAAGTGCAGTGCACGACAAAGATACTATCACACTGCACATGTCAGAAAACATGTCAACACGCATGCCACGGTGAGGATCATTCGAATTCATGGTGAAATCCGCATTTTTTGTTGTTCCACCACCATGTTTCATAGTACAACCGCCATTTGTGGTGAAATCCCAATTTTAGATGGTAAAAATCACCATTTTTCACGGAGAAACATCTCCAAGACCTCCCATTTTTTCGGGCCTCTGGGGCGGCATCCAGTGGCTTGTCCATGGCATCCATGGTTGACCAAGCAATGCAATTAGTATGTTTGTTTCTATATGTGTCACTGAAATCTGTAGAAGTAAGTCTGAGCCATTCTACTTTGATACACAATGATACACACCAATGCTGATGTCAGTGACTTATGATGGAAACCCAAGAAGTGCTTGGAATGGAATCCTCCACTGGATCTTCACATCTGGACATCTCTTTACTGCAATGAATTGGTTTCGATCGGAACCTGTGTCCGGAAATATGGGGCTATGGGATCCAAATTAAGGTACCCTCTGGTTGTTTAACATAGCCGTGGAAAATGGCCCCTTTATACATGTTTTTGGTCATTTACCTATGCAAAAATGATACCAAAAATGAGGAACAGATCATCGGTTTTCGGGGCCTTAATTTTCGCTCGTCGTCCCAGAGGTTTCCTGCACAATGTTCCTATCATCCAAAGCTTCGTTTGGCCCAAGCCGCCCGTGCTGTACACCCCCATGAACCGAGAAGGTCGGGGTTTTCGTCGACAAGCCTGCTGGAGAATCAAACAATATATACTCCATAATTAAAATTATATATATATATATGATATGTGTGTGTGTATGTATGTATGTATGCATGCATGCATGCATGCATGCATGTATGTATGTATGTGTGTATGCATGTATGTTTGTATGTATGTATGTTTGTATGTATGTATGTTTGTCTGTATGTTTGTATATATATATACGTATCATAAATTTGAAGTATACATCTGACTCAGATTTTGTGATTTTTGGATTGTTTCTTTGCTTTGGCATTCCCCGGCCCAAGCTGGTCTGAAACCTCGAATCTAACTAACTGGTATATCCACCATAAATCCCAGCATCTCTCATAAACCAACTTGGCAATCCCCATCATTTAGAACGCCGGTTTTTGTTAACTCCCAGTTTTCTTGTTGAATAAATCCAATTCTGTCATGCATCACAAACAATCAAAACATATCAAAATCACATTGACTTTAATGAGAAGAATCGGATTTCTATGTGATTTTTTGGTAAACCAATCCATTTTTGGGGCTCCCGCAGAAATCCCATGTTTTTGACACATTCCTGGTGAAACCACCCGATCAATTTCTAGGTCTCCAAGCCCTCCAAAGTTTCGGCCACCAGTCCTGGACACCAAACGCGAATCGCGTTTAAAAATTGCCTTTTCGAGGAAAATCAGAGGATTTACTCTGTATATAAGAACTCATGTCTATGTACTTATATATATATGCAATATCATATAGAATATATAGAATATAGAATATAGATGAATACACACATATATTTATATATAAATATATTGAATATAAAAAATAATTCATCTATAGAAGGATATCTATATGTGTAAAAACCATGAACATACATATATATATGTGTGTGTGTATGTATGAACACACATAGCCCTCAACTTCAGTCCTTGATTGTTCACTTCGACCGAACTTCTCGTTGCTGTGTTGTCGCTGTTTTCGAACACGAAGTTCACTTTCGTTTCGGGTCGCGCTGCCGGAAGACTTGCGCTTGGACGAAGCCGAACCGTGGTGTCGACATCTGTAGTCGGTGAGACCATGTCACTGAGGTCCTTCGAACTGAGATCACCAGGGTCCAGCAAATTTCTGAGCATACATGCTCTTTTCCATGCAATGGGGTTTTAAATCCTTTGGTGTGAATGTCCGCGGCCATTTTGGAGTAACTTCATGCCTGGACTTGAATCTGATGAGTCGGCATCGTAGCGGAGGCCCCTGGTCGTACTTGTGACGCCGGGTGTCGCGTTGTGACCAGCCCGGGCTGACGCTTAGCGTCCACCGTTGGAGGTTCGCTAAGTGTGTTTGGATGGTATTGGAAACAAGCACGTTCCACCCATTGATCAAAACGATCTTGTTGTTGGACAGGATGAGCTGGATCCTCTACCTTGATCCATTTGCCATGAGCCAGTATCCATGTACTGCGTAAACAGTCATTGGGTAGAGACACACCTGGTGGGCGCCTTCGAAAGAAGGTGGGCGTCTTGACAACCAAAATGGGGTCCATCCCTGGTAGTTGTTGGACTTGTTCTTTACCTGAAAGCCCTTTCTGATACACCTCTTAGAATGGGGATTTCGGTATACGGAAAATTAGGAACTTCATTGGTTTGAAAAACTTGGCGAACCGTAGTGTCGACATCAGTTGTCAGTGAGACCATGTCACTGAGGTCCTTCGAACTGAGATCGCCAGGGTCCAACAAATTGATGAGCATACATGCTCTTTTCCATGCAAGGGGGTTCTTGAATCCTTTGGTGTGAATGTCCGCGGCCATTTTGGAAGTAACTTCATACATAAGCACGTAGTTCTCCCTGGTAAAATGTTCATGGAGTGAAGTAATGGCTATGCCATGGGTCCTCTCAAGATGCCGCATAGTGGGGTTACGACCCGACCGGACCACACCGATCATGCCCTGATTGTCATCATGAAACACTAATTTGGGCGATTTCCCCGTGAGTGTCTCCCAAATGCTCAATGCAGGCAATCCCATTGTCCGAAGCGTGACATCAGCAGCCACAATCTCAGCCTCAGGAGTGGAATGACTTACACATCCCTGACGTTTGCTGCCTCCAGACAGGGGAAAGCGGGTATGAAGCCCTTGAATGTGCATATGAGACCCAGATGTAGACCTCAATGATTGACACCCTGCAAAATCCGCATCAGCGAAAAGAGATAATGAGAGATCTTTGAACTTATCTCCAACCCATCCTGTCATTCTTTTGGTCAGGCTAGAGTTGACATAACACATTAAGTGGTACAACTTTGCATCAGCCCAACACTTCTAGTACGCGTGCGCACATCAAAGTCATCTTCTCTTCGCGTAGGTAATAAAAGCTTTGGCTCATGCAGCAGTACCTACGCATGTGAAACATACGATCTACTATGATACAACAAGTCTAAGTACATTGCCAAGTGCAAGATAAACTCCTGTAACGCTAGCATGACATCTGCGCGCACATGAACGACAGCTCCCTAGCGCTGAACATGCATGCACTCAAGATCATCTGCTCATATTGTAATTGTAACACACTGCAAACATGTGCTCATCGAAGCTATGGCCAAAACATTGTCTTGTCGCGTGTATGGCTGAGATACACTTCGCGTGTATGGCTGAGTTGAGTTCGCGTGTATGGCTGAGTCCAATTTCGCGTGTACGGCTGAGTCACTAACCCGACTGGTAGTAGGTCAAGTAGAGCAGGATGCCGAAGACAAAGTCTTAGCCTTGGTAGTGCCGCCCACCGGAGTGGGGATACCAACCAACCAGGTAAGTGCGCTCCTTGAGCGTCTTGCCGTAGGGCTCGGTTTCCACGTGGTACCACCGTACGCCCTCGGTAGAGCGTGCGGCTGATAACCTGTGAGTGAGCTCTAACCTCACTTCTGTACCTGGCTTGCATTCCTTTCACATACATATATGCATATATCCTACGAAAGCAGTGGCAAAGTATTTACCCATCTCTGGGGGGTACCAAGAAAACATAGGATGACAAAATATTCGATGATATATAGACACTTTAAGGTAGAAGTCTAAGATCGATATCCCAAGATTTTACTGCAAGTGTGGAGCATGCGACAAGATATTCTAAGATCTTCTAAGGTAAAGAATTCTAGAGCAAACATCAAAAAAAACAATGTATTCTGTGATAAACGTCCAAGTGACTTGCAAAATCCAAGATATTCCAAGAAAATATTAGGCCCAGTGTTCCACATATTCCAGCAGTCAAACCAGGCTCTTCCAGAGCATACCCACAGGATCTGGTCACGTGTTCAGCACCTTCAATCGTGGTGCTTCATCCCACTTCGTCGGTGAAGAATAAATCCCTGGTTTTGGGACCGTGGGAGAAATAGACTCATATTTACCCATATTAATTACTAACATAAAACTGCTTATATATTATTAACCATCCGTAATTGGTTGCAAATATCAATCCCAAATTCTACGTTTCTTCTTGGGTTTACCACCTTACATCGCTTTATAAAGCTCCACCAAGCCAGGCCCTCGCCTGCACCTGCTGAAGCTTCTGGATGTGCGTCGCCACACAGCTCACCTGGCCACCCCAGGCTTAGCCAGGTCATATGTGGAGGTCAAAACCCAAAACATACCTACAAGGTGGTGCCCCATAGTTAGCTAAACTGGTTTATAAGTCCAATATCTAGGGTTTTAAGGGGGGTTATATCTATATAGTTACTGGGGCTTATAAACCAACTTATAACTGGGGGGTACCACCTTGTAGTGATGATTGCTAATGAACAATAGCCGAATCTAAAATAGTCATCCAATCGAAAATAGGAGGATAGATATGGATAGATTGCTAATGATCTGGTCAAAGCCTAAAATAGTTGCTGATGAATGGTAAATCGCTGCTTTCATCCAACTCAAGTTGAGCATTCCATAGGAAAAAAATAGGCTTTGACCCACCTCCATGTTCGATTGTTGGCAGGAAAATAAACTATTGCTCATGGGAAAATATGAAATGAACGATTTTTCATTGGATCCCAGTCATACTTTCTAAGAAGGTACGGCTGGACCAATAGGGCATGATCATTGGTCAGTTCGACTCGTCCAAACATTTTCAGCATGTTGTTCATTTTATAACAGATATACACCCTAAAAATGTAATATAGGGACTGATAAAATAAAACCGGTTAATAGTGATACATAGATTGCAACATAATTCAACATATCAACATCCATATAAACCCGTTGTTGTTTATCAATAGTTAGGAGTTATAAACCCTATTTTCAACATATAAACCGTAGAGTTCATAGGTCTAAAATTATGGGCAAATTACAATAATTTACTAACCTGAAACTTCAAGCCATTTTGGGATGATTCCCTCATTAACCATGATTCCAGTGAGGTCGCGACGTGAGATCGCTATAATTCGCCCAGAAAATTGTGAAAAAACACCCTATAGATCCGTATACTTAATAGTTATACACATTAATATACATCCATATAAACCCGGTTTGTTCATAAATAGGAATATGCTATACAATGCTATACATACATATCTAATTGGTGGTATACCTACCCCCCTGAAAAATATGAAAGTCAGATTGGATTATCATCCCAACTATTGGGGAAAGTAAAATTCATGTTCCAAATCATCAGCCAGTAGAGTTATTTATAACCAATAAGGAATTCCCATGATAACCCAATAGAATATAGTTTTCTGGGAAATATAGAGATAGTACTGCCAGAAATATAGATATACCAGAAAATATCCAGAAATATATAACCATATATATATATATACCATATATTAATATACCATATTCAGATATCATTAATTAACAATCATTAACCATTAACCATCATTACCATATACCAGAAAATATCCAGATTAAAATTCTTCAAATCATATCATTGGATACACCATATATACACCATATATTAATATACCATATTCAGATATACCATATTAAATGCCAGATATATACCAGAAAATAAGATATTCATATAGCCAATATACCATATTCAGATATAATCTGGTATTTAATATACATAAATATATACCAGATATAAAATCAACCATATATATATACCCCATACTAAACCAACCTGATTTTATAAAATCCCCAATGAAAAATCCTGCCTTCACCACCATCCGAAAGGAGTCCCTGGAATCCACCGCGCGGCGAGCCAGGGCCTCACGCGGCCAGCAAGCGAGAAATGGTTGTAGCGCTTAACCACGCGTTGTTCCATGCTTTTCCCGGGGAAATGGTCAAGAAATGGTGGCTGTTCCCATGTCTAAGTGCTATGTTTCATGGATTTTAGATGATTTTGGATGATTTTGGATGATTTTGAATGATTTTGGATGATTTTGGATGATTTTGGATGATTTTGAATGATTTTGGATGATTTTGGATGATTTTGGATGATTTTGGATGATTTTAGTGAAGTGTTATCGATTTTCATGGGGGACATATAACTTATATAACCAATAAATTCATAGGGGTTGTCTGAAAAATGGTTATAGTACCTTTAGATGGTGATGTTCATGAGGAGAATGACGAGAATTGATGGGTTTGATGAGGTACCCTACTTTTGAGACAAACCCACAGTCTTTTTGCATGGAAAAGGGTACCTCTCATTCCCATCAATAGAAAAGTTAAACATATATATATATATAATCCCCATATTATAATCCATATATGAAAGGGTACCTCTAATTCCATAAACCTCTAATTATAGCTGGATATCCAAGTTGCATGGAAAAGAATCTGGTTGGTGGTTGACCTACCCCTCTGAAAAATATTAGTCAATGTTAAGGATCATCCCATATATTACGGAAAATAAAAAAATGTATGAAACCACCAACCAGAATAAATAGGAATGAAACCAGCAATCATATTTAATATGTATTCATATTTGGGTGATTCTGTTTGATGAGGCTTGAGCGTTTCACATTACCCTTCAGCCTTTCAGCTAACTTCAGCCTTTCTATGGAAAATCCAGCATCTTTGGATCATGTCCTAGGGGAAGCCATGGATTTCTATAGTGTTCATAGCATGTTTACTGGAGAGGCTTGACAGGCCCAACAGGTCGTTACCGGTTCCCACACGCGCGGCTAGATGGAATATGCCCAGCCACATATGACGCCTCGAAGTATCTATAAATGGGATGCACATCCAAGATTATCCAAGTATAATTGATAATAGTGAGCAAAACCACCACATAAAAAACCTGTGCCATATCGAAGAGACCTGTTGATACAACTGCCACATGAATTTCTCACAACAAGAAACGACAGAGAAAACTGTGGGCGTCTGAGCCATATGGCTTTGTCTGAAACATGTGGGAACCACAACGTCCTGTGGTTGATTTTTTGTTTTCCCCATTGAAAAGTCACAAGTTTGAAGTATATCAGCATATCCCCTTTTCAGACACACCCCTGTCATATTGTTGGTTGATGTTGGTTGTGTCCCATCAGTCTAATATTGCCTTGGTTTTGAATTCTATGTCTGTTGCAGGAGTATCCTGCCCAAGTCCCAGATAGTCCCATAAGATATCTTCACAAAAAACGCCCTGCAAATTCGCCTTGTACATCTCTGGATCCTTGTAGGAACACTGTAACTTCTTCCTGGCGAACTTGCTTGTTGGGAGGCAAGGGATTGAACCCATGGATAAAAACACATCAGCATGCAGCAAGTGCTTCTGTATGTTGCGGCAAATTCTCAAGCTATACAAGCGGCGCAAAACATCAAGCATTGAAAAGCGGTATCAGCGGATCCTTTTTCAATCTTGTTCATCTAGTTCGGAACCTGTCAGGTACCACCCATGTTTCGGGTGCTGGTTTGCCAGTTCCTAACATAGTTAAACACAGAACCCTGCTGGATATCGTGAACCAAGCCGGCTCAAGCACAACAAGGAGCTTCAGATTCAGAAGCATGGTTAATTATGTTCATTTCTTGTCATTTCATGTCCCTTCCCAAAGGGCACAGTGTTCGAGTTTGTGTCTCACACCAGCTCAGAAGAATACCACTGATCAAACAAGCTAGCGTTCCTGGAACACTGGTTGGTACCTTTCTCCTGTGCTGAAGGCTCACGGTCGTGCACCACTTGAACAATCTTGTTAGAACAGAACTGCTGCGTTCACAAGAGTGAGATTGGGTGTATATGTGCAGACCCTCTGATCATAGGCTCCTCCAATGTTTTCTTATTTGTTATTACCAAACCAGAATGGATCAGAAAGGTGAGTTTTTTTTGGCCTTTCCCAGATCCATACCAGGCCCTCCTGCGAAGCAGTTTGAGTAGGTCTTTAACTTGGCGCCATGCTTGACGTCATCTGGGAAAATACACAGTGTGTTACTCATGATAATGCAGTCACGAGTTAGGGCACCTACTTCTTCGTTATAGAGACACTACCATGTTTCTGTAGAGACTGCGTCTGCTTCTAAACATCCAAAGTGCTACAGTCATGAGAATAAAATAAGATGTGACCCTTGCTCAGGATATCCGTCCCCAAGTTCCCGTCATGTCCTTCAGGCATGAGAGCAAGGCGGTCAGCTTGCTGTTCAATATGCCAGCACCGTAGGGACCAGCTTCTGCATGCGACCTCCGCTTGCTCCGTGCTGTCGACAGATGGTTGCCAAGGCGGCCACAAAACTCAGCTGGTTATGTTATCTGGTTGGTGGTTGAGCCACCTACCATTGTTGGTAATATACTGTTAATATATATTTCATATTAATGGTTATTATAATGTATATATATATACATGGTTCATGATGGTTAATAATCACCCGGTTGGTGGTTATGTTTCAACCCCTCTGAAAAAAGATGGACTTAAAGTCAGTTGGGATGATGACATTCCCAATATGATGGGAAAAATCAAATTCACGCTCCAAACCACCAATCAGTATATAATATCTCATTAACAATTATTAACCACCATTAACCACCATTAACCACTATTAAACAATGTTCCAAACCACCAATCAGTATAATATGTTATTAATGGAAGATCATGGAAACGGCTTCGCTCCATCAATAAAACAAACTCCCCTTTTAATTGAATCCTTCAAGGTGGGGATGCACATCCCAGTTGAGCTGAAGGCAAGCGTCCACTCCGCTGGAGTGTGTCCAAGAAATGCAGTGTAGAGTTGCCTGCCAAAGCCAGGCGTTGAATCCCAACATGTCAAGCAACAGTGGTGTGAAATGGCAAGAAGTGCTACGTATTGCTGCATTCCCAGATTCAACCAAGTCATGTCATAATGAATCCTGATGAATCATGGTATACCTGGTAAGATTTTGCATCGTAGAATATAAAAATATCAACCGGGGCTTGAACATTGTCTTGATGTCTGACATTGTCTCAAATCTTGCCCAGCTTCCAGCTCGTCACAGGCTCCCCTGGCATCACTTCTAAGGAGAGCTTTGCATATGCAAAGGTGAGCTTGTTGTCCTTACAGCAGAGGGTAGCTTAGGCAGGATCACCGATTGGCACCGATGGGTACAGCTGTTATCTCTTTTTTTTCTTCCTGAGATCACAAGAGATCCAAACAAAAAACACTTTTTAGGTCGACATCACCAGGATGTAGCAACACCTGTGTGTCCTCATTGCTTATGAGTGTCATCTGTGCGCAGCACGGGCAAACCAAAGCGAGGTGAGCATTCCGGCTTTGCCCCGGGATATGGATCCCAACTCCTTGGGGACTCGCAGGGGGCCGTATCTACTGTGTATCGATCCCGCTGTTTCCGCAAGAAATCAACCTGGCAACTGGCAACCGGGCAACCACAGTGGTTGGATCCAGTCTTGTAAAAAAACACTTGTGAGAAAATCGTAGCACAGTCGTGAGGTCATGCCCCCAGCATCCCAGGCAGCACCAAGGGTCATTCCGTGGCTCCCAATGAGGAATCCATCCACCAGATTTGGTGCCACTTCGTCAGGCAAGCAGGAATCTTGCGCAATCCTTTCAAAATTGGTCATGCAATTGCAGTGTTGGTGACCCACGATGAACTTGAGACGTGAAGCTGCACGTCCTGAGAGTTCCCGCTGAGAAACGCGAATCGGAAAGCACAAAAAGGACCTCTCCCCTTTGAAATGCCTTGGCAAATAATTTGGACACTTTGCGTTGAAGCCTGAAGCCTCTCCACATCCTTTTCCATTCCAGGATCCTAAAATGGAGGTACTGTACCATTTTTCAGGCCATATTTTGTGGGAATATTCCCATCCATCCCAGATCTATCTTCAGCCAGGCGGCCGATTTGCCCGAAAGGAGCTTTGCCATTGCTTCCAGCAAAGGCTGAACAATCCGTGTTCTTCAAGGCCCATTTTGCGATGCTTGGAACATCTCTGCCTCCGGAATGGGTCACAAGCGCCACTCTCGGATGGATGGGGCGATGCCCCAACCTTGAATATGTTCAGTGCTGACTTGCGATGGAATAGCATGGATGTTGACAGTGAACAACAACACATTGTCGAAATGTACACCTCTAAGTCCAACATCCTTAACATCTGGTAGCGTCGTTCAACTAGACTGCTCTCCTGCAGGACAGCCAGAGCCCGCCATGTTCCAATGGCCAAGAAACAAGACCTCAGCATCAAAGCTATGATCTCCGTCCTATGGGGTCACTGGGGTCACCTGGCGACCCTCTAAGAATCTCAGCACAATCATGCACATCCCATCATTTCTGAGTAGTCATCTTGAACTCATCTCAAAGTCAACGATATCAAAGGGGCGCAAAGTCACCTTTGGAGGTAAAACCTTCAACAAGATATCATATCTATCATGCTCTACGGAAAGTCTGGCTCTATGTCTGAGTCATCTGCTAATTTGGGATTCTTCGCCTTCATGAAGCTGCAGGCTTCCCTCACAAAGCTTCTGGGGTCCCCTCCGACGCACGTGAACATCACGAAGCCGATATTTCCCGCGATACCTTGAGTAGCCGCCGCAAAGGCTATCAACATTAACTGGTTGGTGGTTGACCTACCCATCTGAAAAATATTAGTCAATGTTAAGGATTATCCCATATATTATGGAAAATAAAAAAATGTTCCAGACCACCAATCAGTTAAGCAATTGAAGGGAATATTTGAACAACACTAACCAACACCATCCCTAACCTCTGAAACTACAAGTAAATGAATGCTGCAACTTCCATACTTCAATGAACGACTATGACACTTGATAGTTTAGCGTCGATGTTCATCTAATATAGATGGTACAGTTGAATGTGACTAATTAGTTGAACATCTTCATATTTTGTTCCCCAAAATCCTTTTGACCAGCATGAATCTGTCGGGAATTCCAATCGCCCAAACGCAGCTAAGATCAGCTGAGTTTTGAATAACCGATGACTTTGCCTTGGTTTTCTTCAATACTGCAAGTTGTAAGGGTAATAACATCACATTAGATTCCACACAAACCTCAGCCTGGTGTTCGGAAACTCCCATCACCCGTCCAAGTTCAGTCACTGTAGTGATAAAAATTCTCTGGCCTCGCGTCTGCCTTTGGTGTTGCTTCAAAATTCAAAAAGCCGCCGTTGGCAGCGCTAAACCTCTCCACGGGTGTCCCAGACGGATAGATCTGATCGGCAGCAGGCGCCTTGGGCCTTGGTAACCCCCAGTTCTCATCCATTGATGGACGGGATTTTACATGGCATCCAGCGAAAAATTGGGGTTATCCCCATGACTATGGAAACCCCGATCCTTTGAACCCATTTATACCATTGATATATCATTAATAGCCCATTCATATACCATTAACAATACACACTGGTCTCACATGTGGCACCACAATTGTCAGCATCGTGGCTCAAAGGTGGCGTGGCTATCCTTAGATCGAAATCGAAACTGCGTGGCTTCAACGTATGAAAAATCGCCACCGCCCAGCTGCTTACTTGCTGTTTACTTGTGCAACACGGCTCCAAAGAAGCAAAGTAAAACCAAGCAAAACCAGCCTAATTTTTGACTTCACTATAATTTAGCCTGATTAATAAACTTTATTGGCCTCACACTATGCTTCACTTCAAAGTGCTTCACAAAATTTTGCATTTTGAAGTTTCGGCCTAGAATTTGGACTGACAACTTGCTGAAAGAGCAACTTGCCGTGGAATGTATTCGTGGAAGTTTCACCAAAGGAAACACCGGAAAACGGATATTTGAAACAAGCCGCGCAATTGAGAAGCGCCCCAGATTCTTTGCACGGATTTGGGACTTTAAAAGGAACCAACTCTTTTTAAAAAAACATGGCTATGTGCGTTCGTTCCCAACTTGGGAAGTAACATTTATTTGAGATGCAGCCAAATGTCTTGCGCGAAGAATTGTGCGTGGCCATTGGCAAACTGGTCGTAGCCCCAAAGCCACGAATTGGCACCGGTATTTGGAATGCCATTGAACCAGTAGTCATGATTTCCCGGAGTTGCCTCAACTTACTGGTGCTTAGTAGGGAATGGATGGGAATGGATGGGAATGGGGGAATGGGATGATTATTGATAGTTATTGTGGATCATTCCAGTCAAAGCCAAACCCTTGCGAGGTTTTGTGGCCTGTGACACATTGGTAGAACGTACTATCGGCAACCAGTCATGTTCTCACACAACATGACGTCCAAGGAAAACAAATTACCCTCTGGTTATTTAACATAGCCATGGTATAGATGGCCTAGAAATAGATGGTTTACCTATTAAAAATGGTGGATCTTTCCATGGCAAACTGGCAATGTCATAACCAGATGGTACATCATTTTTTACCTGGCCACCAGGTCCAGCCTTTTTTTTCCACGGGAACATTTTTTCATGACAAGACGCAAGGAGTGGAATCCCTTGAGCTTCTTTGTTCAACTGCGCAAAGATACTCACGCTAAAAAGTCCATAGCGATCATAGAAGTTGTCACCTGTAAGGTACCACAGATCACCTTGCCAGCAAATAGCCAGGGTGTTGGAAAACAACGGTCGTTGTTACATGGGATGGGGGATGGTTGGGATGGTTTGTGTCAGTGATCCCAGGAATTTTAACCCAGGATTATTGAAGAGTGTACAGTATAGAACGGTATGAAACTTCCACTAGCATCTACCTTCGCAGAGTATTTAAGACAAAAAAAAACACATCCGTCAATACGTACAAATGCCCCAACTTATGAAAATGGCACATGTTCGTCTCCATCAGCAAAAACACACATGTCGTCATCATGATTATCATGATGTTCGTGATGATTGCGGCGATAAGACCAGAAGCAGGCGATGGCGGATATATTAAGTCACAATTAGGTCCAAACTGCCCGAACATGTAGGAGAGATTGATTTGTATGTGTATATATATAATGCTCTATGTATATTAATATAATTGGAGCCGATAGCATCACAAAAACAGTTGCTATTGAAGCATCGTGACATCGCGAAGCAATCACGTTCCAAAATCAAAGTGCCATGACAGAATGCTGGCTGAGTTACTTGATTTCAAAGCTGCATTGAGCAGCAATGGCAGCGTGAGATTCACTCCTTAGTGTGTGCAGTCAAAAGAAAGACGAGCTGGCTATATGGTTATGGCATTTGTTTTCTTCAGGAGACACAATATGTACACTGGCTGATTTGATGTGGTGCATTTTCGATGTCCGCAGTTTCGCACATTCACATTCACAAAAATCAGGCGCTCCATCAACAAAGGCTCCGTAGAACGCTCTAAAGTTGCACTGGCCGAAGCCCTTCATGTTCCCGTTGCAAGAGTCTCCAATGATAACCTCCGCGTTTCAATCACAATGGCTAAAGCTGTGATGCTGGATGATGCGGGAATATGGTGAAACCCCTTGGGACCTGCAGCAAATATGCTACAGAACTTACCCACATGTTCAACATAGCAGAAGAGTGGGTGCAGGAACACAAGCTAGGGCCCAGCTAGGGTTGAAAATGGTCAGACGCAATGAAGAAAACAACAATGTGGAGAAAATGGCAATTCGACCAGGCATCACGGTGCTTAAACTGGTGATCAAGAAAACATCGAACCAACGAGCATCTGCTTCCAAGACATGCCTGAGATGTTAGCCAGTTGCTTCAGATTGATACGGTCAATATCTGCCAATGTTGATTTTCTTCCAGCCACCCCCACACCTTCCTAAAGCAAGGGGGGCTAGATCTTTCAGATGCTCGCTTCGACTCATCTTCACTGGTGTGGTATGAAACCAAGCAGCCATAGTGATGGGATTTCCTGCCGGTGGAGGCATTTTTGCAATCACCCCAGTGTCCTTATGCATGGCTGTGTGCACTCCTGACCTTTTCAAAGAAAAGCAGAAACCAATCCATCTTGGTATGACTAAAAATGGGGACAACGGGGTAACACTCAGCTGTTTGCTCATCATGTTCCCAGGGCCCATGCGACAAACTCTGGACACAGAGAAAATCCATCCCTTCTCCCAGCGTCGCTGAAGTTTTCTAGGTGCTGGCCAGGAGGGACGCTTACAACCGCGCTTTGCAAAGATAAAGGATTTATTCCTCGCATGCCATGTCGCTCTGGACCCCAAGCAATTTGAAAGCTCTGTGAGTATTTCCTGGCGATTGTTTGGCTGCGAAGCACTTTGCGAAAACAATGTGGCAAAAACAATGACAAGAACAACATCAAACAATACAAGTGTAATTAATTACTGAGAAAAAAGTGTTTTCTTGCCAATCCCAAGGATCACAGTCTTAACATGAAGGTTGCATGGCAAAGCCCAACCACCATTGATACAGGAGACCCTTAAGCCATTGCTGCCCTGCGTAGTTTCGGGAGCCGCTGCACCGTCAGATTTGTGTAGCAAGGTCACGCGCAGCATGGGATACACTTCACCGGTGCCAGGCCAAGCTTCATCCAGAACAGCAGCCACAGCAACTGTGTGACCTGCCAACTGCCAACTGCTGGGCCCACGTGCAAATCATGTATGTATGTATATATATATATTCATAATAGTTAGCACTTATAACTATGATTTATTATATCTATATATATATATAGATATAGATCTATCATATATCGTGTAATATATATATATACATATATATATATATACATGATATGTCACATACACATTATACATACATACATACATACATACATACATACATACATACATACATATATATATATATATATATTATTTTAAAATATTTTAAAATACATTATACGCACGATCATCCGCGGTCGATCCATCTTCGTTCCGAGGTGCGTATATGGCTGGTGAGCGTTTCAAAATCTTTCGAGGAGGTGATGCCGCCACAAATCTTGTCGAGTGGGCAAACGTTGTATGGCTTACCCACGTAGGCGGTGTCCTTTGTGACAGAAAAAGGTGATTCAAAAGAACCATATGGGGACGGGTATTTGGGGGAATAAACATCTATTGAATCTATTGTTTAATGGTTATATAAGTTATATATGGTCATATATTAGATGGGATAATTACTAAGTCCATTATCCATATATTATAATAGATATAGTAATAGATGGGATAGTTTAATGGATAATGGACTATTACTATCTATTTAATATGGTACCATTCGGGGCCCAGAAAAGGGTTTTGACTCAGTTCAGAATGCCACGGCAGAACGCTGGAACTGCAGTCTGGAACGTTAGCCGTGATGATTTTTGACCATTGAACTAGTTTTAATAAAACGAGGTGAGTTACCATCTGGTAATTTAACATAGCTATTGAAAATGGCCATTTATAGTAGATTTTCCCATTAAAAATTGTATGAATTGGAAACGGGATCGTCAAATGCCCAACTTTTACCACGGCAGCGCGGTATGACTCAAGGGCCCTAAAGCCAAATGTCAACGGAGCATGTGATCACTTGGCTATACAAAATATACATTAGACAGGTCAAACTCACACTCAACCTGTTCTTCAAGGATCACATGATGCTAGTGAAAAAAGTTGGCTCTAAGGCTTCTTCTGTACACGGTAAATGCACTCCTTCAAGACGCGGATAATGAGGTCCGGGCGCATGCTCTTGGTCAGAGCATCCGAGACCATAGTCCCTGCGGCATACTCGCCGAATTGTATTTGATGCAAATCCCAATGGCATCACCCTGTAGGATGTAGTTTTGGGGTCTTTGATCTCATTGATGTCTCCAAGGAAATGGAAACGACCTTGTTGTGATTTGTAATTCTTCTCATTTGAAAATGAAGCATCTGTTACTGTAATGATACCAACCTCTCCCCAAGTTAAATGACCACCTGGGAAAATAAGTTTGTTATCAATGCCTTGTTGTGCCAGCTGTACTACGGCATTTGCGTCGTGCAAAATAGCAACTGTCGCTCCAGAAATACTGGACTGTAGGCGGCTCACACGATAACCCAAATCGGGTCTAGTCTGCCTTGCCACCCATGCCAATGATCCCGTTACAGACCGTAATCGGGTCACATCATCCTTACCCAACGGCTCGGACGCTGATCTTCCTGGCGCAATCTTGATCGGCTTGATGCGACGGGTGTTGTCACAAGTGTCTTGTGTGATTGTTCCATCTGCAGTACGCTCAAATTGCTTGCCACAATAGCGAAACGAATTTGATTCACTTGATCCCAAGTTGAACTTCTCCAAGAAGCTGTCGATCACTGACTTTCCCTCAGGAATGTATGCGTACAAGATGTCATCCACATGTGTCGCCATAAGTGCAACGCAATCTTTGTCGGTTCCTGGAAGGAAATACAATCCTGGGTAAAACTTGGATTGTTTCAAGCCACTGGATCGGGCATCTCCGTCCAACCTCAACCAAAAACCTCGACCGCTGTCAGTCAATCCATATATAGGCACCCGCACAAGGAAAAACACCTCTGGATCAACTCCCGGGAGACCTCCTCGGGGTTGTCTCATAATGAGAACTCTATCAAGAGGACGACCTTGGAAATATGCGGATGCGACGTCCGCACTGTGCAATTGTGCGCCCTGGATCGCCGCCCAACAGCAAAGAATGTTGTGAGCTTCTGTGTCTGCTGTAGGACTGTCTGATCTCAGACCTTCACTGACTTCGAAATTGCCGCATGACACCAACCGGCTTTTGAACTTAGGCACATATTCTTGGTCTGCTCTTCCTTTCATAAATTGGTTCTTATCAACATCAACCCACTTGCTAGGAATACATTGATGCCCTTCGGCAATCAACCTCTCAGCATCTTCTTTTGAAATTTCAACAACAGCAGCGAACTCAAGGAGCTTGTTCCACTCCTTGGTTCTGGCATCCATGATGTTCTTCTGTACATCAGGTGGCGCTGATTCATAGTGGATTGATTTCAACACTTTCTTGCCTAGCTCCTCGTCCTCAGGAACTCCATCAACTTCCTGGGACAAAAATGATGCAAACAATGCTCGTGCTTCTTGTTGTTCTTCAGGACTTCGTTCTGAGTCTCTCTCACGAGCTCTTTCAAGATGTGTTCGCAATTGATGTGGTAAGTCATTCAAAAGTTGTCTTCGTAATGGCGAAGATGATGCTGACGGCGAGGATAGTGGTCCCAAAACGGAGCCACTTGGAGTAGAATCAGGCACAAAGGAGTCTCTCCGAGATGGCACGAGTGATGAGCCTCTCTCCGACTCAGGCTGTAGTTGAGACTCTACTCGAGGTCTCACATTGCGTTCATGATCTCCATCTCCTGGACGTGGTCTTTCAACTCTTCTTTCTGGAGTTCTACTCTGTGAAAAGATGTCTTCTTCCATAGGACCAGTGTCTTCCTCCTCTTCACCTTCTTCAAAGAAACCAGGTCGTATATCCCATTCATCTTCTGGTATCTCTGGTATAGGAGGGAGTGCTGAATCCACATTGTCCTCATGGACAACTTCAACATCGTCTGCTTGTCTTGGACCTTCACGAACAACTTCAACCTCATCTGCTTGTCTTGCATCAAGAAACACTTGTTGATCTGTATCGTTGATGGTCTTGTATGGAATCACAGGTTCACCATTCAACACCGATTGAGCAAGAGCTTCAGAAGGAGAAGCAATGCGTATGTTGTGAGAAGCTACAAGTACTGGAACGTTACCACATAGTAACCATATGTTCTTCTGGTTCTCGTGTCCGATCACACGACATGTTGGTGACCAGGACGTTCCTCCTCTCTGATTGTCTCGTCTGAAAGTGACAAGATCACCAATGTTGAACTCACGATCAAACACACTGGCATTGCGTGTCAACGCTCTCTGAACTCTTCTTGAACAATCAAGGTGAACAAAAGCCTTTTGTGCCTCAATCCTGGCCAAATGTTGTAATGCAAAAATTGATGAAGGGTCATGTCGGGCCTGAATGGCTCCGAGCTGTGCGTGATCTTCCTCTGACATGAGTGAAGCTACACCACGGGGAGCTCGACCGAGCACCCACTGAGATGGAGAAAATCCTCCAACACGCGCGGAGTCGTTCTTCACACTGAGCACCTGTGTGATGCACGACTCAACCTGTTCTTTGGTACAAGCCCCAACTTCTGTACACACTCGCCTGAAAAGAGCTTTCAACAAACCACCATGCCTCTCTACTCGGCCCAATGATTCCGGGCTCTCAAGGGGCACATGGTGCACTTGAATGTTATGTTCATCCATGTATTGTTGTAAGACACCACGATTGTGCAAACCACGGTCACACATGATAGCAACAGGATGTCCTGCCCAACTGAACCAACGTTTAATGAGTGCGTCCAAACAGGATCGCGAAGAAGCTTGACCTGCTCCAACCTTCACAACCTCAGCCTGTTGAAAACAAGTACCAATGCAAACCATGTTGAGAACTTGATACTTCTGCCCAGTTACATCTGTCAACTCCAGTACATCAATCCCCAAAGTATGGTTGAATGTATAATCACTTGGAAGCGTAACTTTGTGAGTGGGTTTCTTTGCTGATGTTTTCTCACATGTTTCACATCTATGCAACTTCACTGCATCAACAAACTCCTTACTCACCTTTGCAGCACGCACCAAATTGACCATCACCGTCTTGGGGACGTGTCCAAAAGCCCTGTGCAACCTACGCACAGCAATCCTGACACGCTGGGGAAGTTTGCGCCAAGACCTATGCCTTTCTGTTTCATCCTCTGGTAATCCAGGGATATCAACATCATCCAAAAGGGTCTCTTCATGTGTCAGGTCCTCAACTGGATCCTGCAATGCAACATCTTCTGGGCCATCGACTGCATCCCAGTTCCCATCATGTTCCAGAGCCTCTTCGATGATCTCTGCTGGAAAGGCAACGCTCATCTGCTCCTCCAATTCACGTTCAAGTGACCAATCACGAATCCATTGACAAAACTCCCAATTCAAAACGTCATCCAATTGTCGATACATAGACCAGTCTTGAAAACCTTGAATGAGTTCATCATCATTTGACACAAAAGCAAGACCAACTTCATTGATGTATGGTATCTGTGGTGTTTTGAATGATTCCCATCGTTCAGTGTGTGCGACATCAACAATGAGAAACCTACACCCTGTGGCATCACAATACTGTTCCAACTCAAATACAAGATCCCCATGACACAGTGGATAATGTTCTGACTTGTATTCAATTGCAACAATGACCAATGTGCAACCTTCGAACATGTCTTTCCAACCGTGTTGCTCAGCATCACCGTCCAAGTACGCAGCATTCATGCCAACGTCATAGGTGTGCTCGAAAAAATCCTGGAAAAGAGTCGGATGTGACGTGATGATTGCAACCCCTGAAGTACCATTGGAAACTTGAGGCTGCATCCCAAGACTGGACTGCATTACCCGGTCATGGTTGTTGAGATTGTTGATACCTTCCAACACCATCTTCCTGTGTTTCTTGCTCATAGTCCTCCTCTCATCAGGATGGACTGTCAAATCAACGTTGGAATCAAAACGCACGGCCATGAAACCAGTGGGAGAATACTCATAGTCATATTCATAAGAATCGGAATCATCTTGTTCCAACTTGGGCGTCAAGACCTTTGGCTGGGGCTTCGACTTCACTGCATACATTCTTTTGGGTTCTGAGGATTTCATCTCAACTTTTGGATTCAAAGACTTTTCAAAATCATCCCTTATATCCCGTATTTTCTTGTTGGGGGTCAACCTGACACGAACGCTCATGTATGCTCCCCTCCCGGAGTCATCGAACACCCCAGGTGGGTGGTGAAACACAATCACATCGATCCACGAGTTGCTCAAACGCACTGTTGCTTTGCTATCAACGTTGTCTTCAATGAGTTCCCAGTTGCCTCCATTGCGAGGTCTGCACCACGTAGATCGCTTCCAGTGCTTGATGCCATTCGAAACCTTGATAATCCGGTTGGGCCGGATATGATCTCGAATCAGGACGTTCATTCGAACTCCTTCCACCAGTGGATCTTCGCCATCTTTGCAAATCCAAAAGAGCCGATCCCTGTTACCCTCACGGATGCAAAAAGACACAACTTCGCTAAGGAGCTCGCCGTCCAATGTCTTCACTGACACGTTCTTGTTGTCAAACGGTCCATCTGATGCCAAATTGTTTCGGATCAGTCGCTCAAGTTCATCGCGATCATTGGGAGGTTCTCGAGATCGTTGTGGCAACGTCGATCGGGGTCCGTCATCGGCCCCTCGGGGTCCGTCATCGGCCCCTGGTACATCTGAGATATGTGGAGGTGGGTAATCTGGACTCCTTGGGGCAGGTCTTAAAACTGGCCTTGATGGAGCTGGTCTCGAAGATGGGCTTTGATCTCTTCCCAAGCTCCTTCCCCTAGATGCTCGTGGATGTCTCCAAGGTGGCAGTTTTCGACTGAAGCTCGGGGATCTCCTGCGCCTTGGTGGTGATGGTGGAGTCGGCAAAGCGCGGCCATCTCTTCGTCGACGCAAGGGGCTCCTTGATCTTCGTCCTGTTTCAGCCATCCTTTTGATCTCAACCTGTTCTGTCCTAAGATGTCCAACATCTGTTGCAAGCCCTTGTACCAAACGTCGAATCTCATCAAGTTGATCTGATGTAGGATGTCCTGCAGTGGGGTGATCTGATGTAGGATGAGATGAATGTCCACCTGAAACATCATCGGCTGGAGCATCACGCACGTCGCGGCTTGAAGCCACATTGCCTCGTGATCGTGCCAACCTTGACATGTTCGGGATCAAATGTCGAATTTGTCCCAAGCTCGCAGCCATGTCCTTACATCCATGACAAACTCCACCACAACGCATCTCTCCCCACATCCAAGATGATGCATGAATGAGAACAACGTCATAACCAAGGACCTTGAGACACCTGTAGGCAGCAAATCCCTGTCCCACTGACCTGTGGCGACCTGACTTGCACTCCAAATCCACCAGCACCTTACTGTCGGCTTCCTGTTGTGTGACGAACTGGAGGATGTTGTTGAGATGTTGGATGAACCTGTCTACTTTGCTCATAGTCTCAAGGATTCCATGATGCCAACCCACATGCGACCTAAGGTTAACGTCCTGATCAGGATCGTTAATGTCCTCACAGTTGATGCTCAAAGTGCTCCTGCTGGTTCTGCACGCATGTTGTTGAAATCTACGTCCACGAGTCATGATGATCACCTTCCTGTCACTGCGCAGTTCTTCATTCAACTTCGTCTGCAAGATGTCGTAGTCCCTCGAATGAAAACCACACATGTCATGGTCAGCCATGGCAACTTCCGATGTGGATGCTGTGTATGCGATGTTGTACTTTCTGTGACACTTCGGGATTTGGGGAAGTTCATCCGACGGTGTGTTGTTGATGTTGGTCAATCCTTCAGTCAAGTTCATCACAAGTAAACCTGATTTGGAACATCTCTTGATATTCAATGGTTGATCTTTGATGGAAATCACCCCTTTTGCTAGGTCCTTCACTAGGCCTAACTTGGTTTGCGCATGCAATGAAAGAAGCAATGGGCTGTTGCCTGTTGACAATTGATATGAATCCAACTCCCCATGCATGTTCCCGTCTGGAAGCAGCAGCGAAAAAGGAATAGATCTCACACCTTCGGTCTTGGTACTACCACTTCCCAGACCAGCAAAACTCTTACAACCGTCATCCTTCAATGGCATACTGTAACCCAATCGGGCCAGTCGTGCTTCTGCATCGACTGCCCAGGCTTTGCTATGACAAGTGCTGTTGCAACCTTCATCCAATACTGCAAAAACATGGGGTGACTTGGCAATGTCAACAGTTTCATAGTTCATGTAAACCAAGTCTTGAGGGTATTGAGTGTCACTTCCATGCAAACAAATGCCAACGTACCCAGCTAACTCCCTGCCCGAGGGGTCGCCGTGCCCATCTTCATTGACAAGAGAAAAACTGTCCTCTTCCTCTGTCACGTCATTGATGGCTTGATGCAGTAGTTCATGAAGTCGTGCACGGGTCATCACCTCAGATTGGCAGGTTTCGGTAACAAGAGTGGCAAACAAGGGTAACAACTCTTCCAACTGGACTGGATTCAATCCATCCGATTCTTCAACCAATGATTCAACAATGGGGACTGTTCGAACTGATGCTGTTTCAACCTTCTTGGCAATGGCAACACGCTCCTTGCGAATCTGCATAGGAGCTTCATCAATGAAAGTGCAACACTTCTTGCAGAAAGTACGGTGTGTTGATTTGCTGGATCCCCTAAAATCGGTGTCATCATGAGGGCAATTCTCAGGGGACATCAACGGTACCATGTCACGCCTTGTTGTTTCGGAATGACCGCACACAAGACAGGTCTTCCTGATGGTGTACCCCGTAGAACCTTGTTTTGTAAACTCACGACATTCCTGACACTTGTTCGGCAAAGGAGGATTTGGGGGTTTCTTTCTGCCAGTTCCCCGAGCCACCAACAAATCTCGGTGCTCGACATGCTCAACAGGGACTTCGCGCAAGTGAATCCCATCAGCACCAACCACAAAGTATTTGTCAACCCAATTCAACCATGTGACATAGTATGGACTCTTGGGGGTATGTTTCTTGGCATGATGATAGTACCCTGTCTGTTCAAACAACACATTCCAAAAAGACAAACCCTTGAACTGTCCAACAGGAAAGATGCACCCATGGTCCTCGGGTCTCATTGTAACATCGAGATCCCGGGAAATCAAGCCAACGTTACTGCTGGATGCTGCTGCACGTGAAGGTCGACTGCTGGGCTTCGCTTGTCGAACTGCCATCATAGCAACTCCATCTCTGTCACGATCAGGTGAAGCTGTCAAAGTCACACCATCGTCATCTGAAGAATCGCTCATGTCGGCAAAGTGAGCTGCGGGCTTTGGGGCTGACTTTCCAGGGGCTCCGGCTTTCGACCCCGGGAATTTACATTCCGGGTCACCGGCCCAGTGCCCTATGACTCCGCATCTCAAACATTTGCTCTTCGACTTCAGCTCTGTGAGCTTACGTCTCCTCTGATCGATCGTGAGGTTGGACTTCACGATCTTTCCTTTCCCCTTTCCTTTGGGCTTCCCGAAGGATTTCCCTTGCCACCTGCTTTCCCCATTGCAGTGAAAGCAGCAAGTTGTAGCTGGATGGCGTCTCCTGCTTGTCGATCATCTTCTGCACCTTCAACTTCAAGCAAGCTGTTCAATGCAACTGCTTCGTACTCATCGACGTCGTCAAAGTAATCAAATTCGTTGTCACCTTCTAGGTTTCCTGGCTCCTCTTCTGCAATGTCACCAAGCATGCCAACATATGAATCATCCTCCCAGGATTGATCCACAGCTTCATCCCAAGATTCTGCATGTTCCTCCCCATCATCGGGGTAGGCTGCATAGGCTGCTTGGGAATACGATCCCTTCGAAGAAGGTTTGCCTTTGCCATAACCCTTGCCTGACGACTTGCCATGCTGTTGAGGATTACCACGTCCTGTCCAGGATCGTGATCCTTCTCGCAAGTGAGTGCCACTGTAGTTCTCGATCAGCACCTTGCCAACACCTTCAAAATCTTTAGTGTCTGCACAGGCCTTCACAACGAGGATCTCCTGTCGATTGAGCCCACTCAACTCCAACATCAACTCTGTCCTCAAGCTGTCCGAAAACACCATTGTGTCATCCAACTCGCATAGCATGTGCCACCAACGTCGTCTCCTCTGAACATAGGAAAGCATGGGTTCGCCTGGTTGGCGAGATAAAGGACCACCTTGCTTCTGTCCTGCTCGAAATAATTCCTTGGCTTCCTCACGGGCTCTTGGAAACACATGGGATTTGATCTCACCCACAAGTTTCACAAGGCCACCAGGTTTGGACAACACTTCAAGTCCAAGATCCCTAGCTATTGAGAAAGCATCTCCTCTCAGTCCTTCAATCACCTTGTTGACCAATGGTCCACGGTCAATGTCTGTCTTCTGCTTGCCGGACTTCGAGGATTTTCGGCTCGCTCCAGACTTCGGAGTCGAGACTGCTGATGTAGGCTGGGCTGCTTGAGTAGCACCCGACAAATCTGGAAAAGTAACATACTCATCTGCGTCTTCTGCGGCAGGCTCTGTTGCTGTGGTCCCAACGGGATCCGCAGGCTTACTTGTCTCCTCCTCCAATTGTTGCTCATAAAGACGAATCCGAAGGAGAGTCCTGAACTGCCAATCATGAAAGTTCGCCGCATCACCTGCATAGATGTATGATCCACTCTTCGTCTCAAGTGGTGCCGACGAATGGCGTTCCTGATTGAAACGAAGGCCATTGATCGACATGATGCTCGCTCCGTTCGGAGTCGAACAAGGAAAAACGTTAACAAGTGTCTGCCCTGGTCAGGGTCAGACAGATTCCCGAACCACTGATTCCCAAAGTTACCAGACTCAAATTCACAAAGGGTTCCCTGGGTCACTGACGTACCACCGGATGCGGGTCGTCACCCGCTCCGCTACCAATATGAATTGGAAACGGGATCGTCAAATGCCCAACTTTTACCACGGCAGCGCGGTATGACTCAAGGGCCCTAAAGCCAAATGTCAACGGAGCATGTGATCACTTGGCTATACAAAATATACATTAGACAGGTCAAACTCACAATTGTGATTTTCCTTAGCTTTGTTAGCTTACCAGAGGGTACCATCTGGTTATTTAACATAGCCATGGTATAGATGGCCCTAGTCGAAATAGATGGTTTACCGAACTTAAAAATGGTGGATCTTTCCATGGCTATGTTAGTCATAACCAGATGGTAGATATCACCATTGGTCACCAAAGACCTTAAAAAATACTGAAGATCTTCCAAAAAATCAACGACTTGTTCATACTTTTTCTACCAAGCAGAGGCTCAAATTCATCCTGCCGGTTCTTCCACATACAGTCAAACATGACGATCACCGCAAAATCTGCGAAAGACATCAGTGGTGGCGAGTCCAAAGAGTTCAGTTTTCCAAGAATCCTTCGGAGCGCCGCGCACCATGGAAGGGCAGAAGCTTTGCTAAGTTGGTGCACATAACTCCAATAACTATGGTTTATGGTACCTATAACTATAGTAAATGATGTTAATGGGGTTTATAAACCATCAAACATCACTGGGGTGGCCCCACCTTGTACCAATTGATCTGGAATATTTCTTCTGCGACAAAGATAACAAAGGTCGTTTTTTTGGGTGAAATGGCAAGTCTTTACGGGTCTTGTAGCTTTCATGCTTTGCTCTTTGGGGAACTCATTGGGTGATCTGAATTGAATAACTTCAGCCGCGTGGCTCTGCCACTGCCATCTCGTGCGCTGCTTTTACTTCAATGCACAATTCTTTCGGCAGTGGAGATGTGTTTGGATTGCAGCCCTGCTCGAAGACTTTCAGTGCTTGGCTTTCACCTGAGTTTGCAACCGACTT